TTCAACTTCTTTCTCTCTCTCTATTCCATAATCTCTATGCCATCACATATTCGCAATCGTGCTTAGAATTTCAGCACACCGAAATGAGCGTTTTATTTTTGGAGAAAATCTCGATGAAAGCCAAAAAAAATAAATAAAAAAAGTGAGCCGGTGAACAAAAGTAGTCGGAATGAAATTAGCATTCATATCAAATGAAATGACTTGAAATAAATTCACATATTAAACGAAACCACCATTTTTTTCGATTGTTTTTAGCCAAGTAAGATCAGTCTAGTTTCGATCGAATAATATTGATATGTATTAAAATGACAGCATGTCATTACAAGTTGATCGATCTCATCTGTTCATGGTCTTTTAATGAACTTCCACACAATACAGAACAGCACTTTAGTTTTTTTTTTCTCGCTCGCTTGTGTCGATTTACCAAATTTAGCATTTTTTTTTGCAACGTTGCAAATTGTCGGTTGGGTGCCAAAAAAGCCATCATTTTTCGGTATAAAAAACAGCCATCAGACAAAATTTATGGCTGATTCACATAAATTATAATCATCTGCTAGTTTTCACGACGTGTGTTTTATGGCCTTTTTCTTCACACGTTCATTTGGTTGGTTGTTTTTTTTTACTCGGTTCACTCTCATTGTGGTGGCATCGTGCATTCGATGTGGTACGAAGTTCGGTCGACCACAGCTTAGCTATTCTGATAAAAATGTGTGATGCGATCCAAAAAAAAAAGTCAAGGGGAAAAAAGCATTTCAACTATTTACGCCATAATGATTTTAAGCGCGTTGCGAATTCAAATGCACGGTTTAATTCGAATGATTCGTCGAAAAAAAAATGAACAACAACACATAGAACCGAACCAATTGCGATTCAGTGGTGTCGTTTTTATCCATATATATACATTATAAAAACCCAATACGTACATTGGGTCATTACAATACATCAGCAGCGCACCGAAAATCCGAAAATAATTCATGCGCGAAGAAATCTCATTTTTGGACGATCAGCCATCGAGCGTGCTCTCTCGAAGTTCAGGTCAATCAACTGTCCTTCTTCCATGTACTTAAAGTTCAGTATTTTAAGAGCGTGTGTGATAGAAAGAGGGACAGAGATCGAGAGCAAAAAAAAAGTATGGCAAAGACTCGTTTTAATTTAATTGCTAATTTAACCGCTTTATTTTTATTCGGTGTGCAAAGCCCCATACACGCATCAAGTAACGGAAATGTTGTATAAATTTTTCATTTTATGTGCGTATCAACGTTATGTGAATGATAATCACATCACGAAAATTATGTTTTCGATTCATACAGGTGTCACACACACAATCGGTCGAATCAGCCGTTTTTTTTCTCTCGTCTTTCTTCTGTTGTATGGTTTTTTGTTTGTTGGCATAGTAGCCAGTGTGTGTGTGCACATGTTGTGTGTGTGTGTGTATGGAACACTTTTTGATGGCTTATTTTTCTGCGGGCGAATGCGTTGCTTTAAATTTGGGTGAATTATTGAATTTCAATGGCCAATTCATTCAATTCTGTGAATTAGATTTTCTTCTTTATTTTGCATACAAATACATGATAAAGGTATTATCATTCAGTTTCTGATTATCCGATGATATGAATCTCTTTCTCAAATGCAATATACAAATAACAATCACGAATGAATGGAAGTAATCGCTCTTTGGGGCTATTTCAACTTAGATCGCGATTCATTCAAAATAAATGTGTTGCACGGTGAAACTCTCCATAAAGTTCATCAAGTTTTCCAGTTAACTTACACTTTTCTATTTCGATTTATTATTTCGGTTTGGGCTCTTTGTTTCTTTCCTATCTAATACACATATACATTGTTGCGGTCAGCTTCTTTTTATTGTTTTGTGTGTGGATTTGCTGATTGACATGCATATTTCATCATGAGAGAGAGAGAGAGAGATAAATAACATTTACGGCAAATCGTCTTATATCGTATGTATATGTGTGCGTATTGAAACCGTTTGTTTGCCATAGAAACGGTAAATCTTTCTGCTGTTTTGTGTATGAACTTCCACTTTTCTATTGTAATCAGTTCGGAGAGATGATTTTTTTCTACTCTTTTGAATTTCGATTGTGTACGTTAGTTTTTTGTTTCTTCTTTTCACCGGCATCGCGATTATTGATTGTTTTCGGAATGCTGGGAAAATTCATGTCGGCCTCGATCAACTCGTAAATCATTGTACGCATGCTTTATTTATTTACAAAGCACACAAAAAGAGGAGCAACTCTCAATCGAAATGCCATAATTTGCTGGAAAACGAGTTCAAAAAGTCGAATCCGGCCTGAATTGATTAGATAAAAACTATTGAAAATTGATACGATGCTCACCATTTCCGATTGCTTTCAGCGGTCATCCAGGTATAATTTTGCTTTTGGATACGAAATTAAATCGTTCGTTACTTTTTTCGTATGTGGTTCACCTCATTGAAAGTCATCGAAATTTCAAAACAGTTTTGATTTGCGTTCGATTGAAGCAAAACCGATGACGAGACACAAGATGCATACCATTTCATTTCAAATGGAATTCATTCCGCCTGAGCAATTCGACTTGTTCTCGATCTGAGCGAATCCAAAACGGAAAGAAGAAGAAGAAGGAAAACAAAACATGCAAACGCATGGAACGCATTTATCATTTGTGGTGAGAGAGAGATAGAGAGACTTAGTGATGAGAATAAATGCAGCAAACCGTAAAGCTGTTGCATGGAACGTCGAATGTTCGCATTCAATACACTTCTTTCTTCATTGTTTATTGACACATTTAATTTCACATGCGTTCGTTTTTCCTTCTCTTCTCCTTTGGTGTATTTGAATTAAAATTGTAGCATTTCTAATCTCTCGCCTGTGTGTACTGTGTATGCCACCAGTTTTCTTCTTCTTCTGCCACAAAGTTGTAGTAGCACATAAAATAATTACATAGTATGAGTCATTTTCAATGCCGTGCTGAAACATGATGAACACGAATAATAGCAGCAGCAAAAAACAAGAACAACAAGAAATATTTTATGGATGATGAAAAGTGCCACCATATGAAAATAAGTAGCGACAGTGACAGAAATGTGGAATTTGGTATAAACGACAGAAATACATTCAAATGATAGATCCTTTTCGATATTTGATGACGAAATGGAGCCACAGAGAGAGAGAGAGAGAGTGAGAGGAAGAGAGTAATTGTATATAATTTGCATTTGCTCGAAATTGCAAACACATTTCCACCCGATATTCATAAAACATGAGAAATGCATGCAATCATCATCACATAGCCATATAACACACGCAACAAGCGCTTCAATTTGTGTATCGTAAGTGTAACACAGCACATTTTGAGCTAGAGAAACACATGCACACATATCCCTTTTAGAAAACCAGATTGGAGTAGAGAGAAAAAAAAAATATATATATATGTGTATAGGATATAGGAAACAAAAAATCGATATTTTTATGATGGCATTCGTTGACCTTTCTCTTACGTAAGCTTCAAGACAAACACAACAATCGCGTTCTTCGATTCAATTTCTGTTTTTTTTTTTCTCTTTTCCATTATGATAGATTGTGTTGAAAGCAAGGAAACAGGAAAGCAAGTGAAAATATAACTATACAGAAAATGTATATATTCAAACTGGAGAAATAAAGCGAAATGAAAAAAAACTGTATAAAAAAATATATATATGACCAAATGCTGTCAAATGATACGGACTGTATCGTAATATGCTAAAGAATTTCGCTACATTTCGCCGATAGACCAGCAGCACACGCCATTAGAAACAGCGAGCAATGAACAACAAACAACAACGGAACGACCACCACGAACCGAGCGCACAATGATAACAGAGCAGAAAAAATGTTCGATTAACAAATAAGTTCAAGAGAAGAGAAACAGAAGAAAAAAAACTAATCAAATAAAACAAAACCAAACAACCAACGGCCGAACAAAATATGCATATGCATATGTATAATGAGTGCGCCAAAACAAAATGCAACTCAGAATGTGAAGTGTGTTTACGAAAAAAAAAGTGATTATGAAAATGCAAAAAAGAAATTGAATTGAAATGAAAACAGTCGATATATGTGTATCGTTGAGCCAAAGTACAGCACATGGAATGGATGAGCACAGGGAAAGCAACAAGCAGCAAACGCACACCGCAAATATAATATTGATATTTAAAAAAAAGAAGTGTATTCAATTTTTTTCTCTGCAGCTATCTTTCTTTCTTTCACTTGAACACTTTAAGTGCATAATATCTATTACGTGTGGTGCTTCTACCATTCTGATATGTTCTTTTTTTCATTCGTTCGGCTTTTTTTCTCTTCATCTTCTTCTCGTTTTGTATGTTGAGGTGGTTTGTTTGTTTGTTTTTTTCTTCTTCTTTTCTTTTCTATGTGCATTTTTTTTCTCTGCACAGACGAAAAGCTAACTGGGCAATAAGCATTGAGCTAGAGAAATCAAACGCTTGTTTATGAATAATATTAACATTATCCAAAGCACTTTGCGTCCGCGTTCTTCTCTCCATCTCTTTGGCATACGAAAAATCAAAATGGCAATTGCAAATGATTTTCCATGCAACATTGTTGTGTGTTTATTGAATTTAGCTGCTGCTGCTGCTGCTGCTGAGGCTGCTACTGTTATTGCTGTTTGTAATTAATTTTGTCTATATGCGTATTACATGCAGTAAGTGCAGTGGTTTTTTTTCGGTGTGCTTCTGCTCTTTTTTTGTGTGTTCATAACTTTTGCCGTGCCACCACCGCCACTGCCACTGCACTGCTCTGCTCTAACTCTGCCGCCGTGCCGACACATCGTCATGTCGTTTTTCGTTGTTGTTGTTGCTATTGCTACTCTCTAAGAGCTAATGCTGTGGCTTCTACTTATTTCCTCCGTTTTGTTAGGTTTTCGTTCAAAATATTATTAGATATTTTGTGTAATTAATTTTTTTTTTGCGTACTTCATATCTTGGTATAGTGTGCTTTTTTTTTAATTACCTTTTTCTCAGGTTTGTAGCAAGCCCGTGAATCAATGGTAGAATTTGCGTTTAGACTATTGTGATCTGCAGCGATAACGGTAACTTCTTGTATTTTCTTTTCACCGTCACGTACACCAAACTGAAATGGTCGATGCTGATGCTGATGTTGTTGTTGTTCCTTGCTGTTCTCAACTGCAATCAACGGTTGAACACTTCGTGCATTATCACAATTCGATTTGTTTGATTTTGTGGATTCTTTGGTCACTTTATCAATGCACAATTTATCAATAATATTTTTATCTTCGACCATGACCGAGTGATTCTGAATTGAATGTTTCAACTGTCCCTTCAATTTTAAACTATTTCACTCACTCGAACTTATTTCGTTTCAATTATGAACGGTTTTTCGTGGTAATTTATTTTTCCGTTCTTGTTAGCGATTTTTCTTTTCGGTTGTTATGAGTCACAGCAAAATAAATTGACGAATTGTTTGCAACGTTGATTGCACGACGATGATTAAAAGGGAAAAGCCGCGAAATTAGTTGTTATTTTTTGTTAGGCAAACAATAAACTTTTCATCAATTCGTTAGTTATGTTACAATTTGGTCGCTTGTTACTCGAATGACACTCTCTGATAACTCTCTAGAGCTAAACCACAGGTTGCCAAAATATAGCGAGAAAAAAAATCACACGAAAAGAAATGAGCAATAGGTACGGTAAAAAATTTGGATAATTTTATTTAAAATCGTTGCTTCTTTCGTTTGCGATGCGCTGAGTTGCGGTCACAAAATACGCCAAACAGAAAATTATTCACAATTTTTATATATATTTCGTATCGATATCGATAGTAATATATTTGATGCGAACGATAAACGATGGGGACCACGAAAAAAAATAATGAAGATGTAGATTTTCACACAACACAGAACATTGGCGACCGAACAACACTATACAAAGGCAAAGTTGGAAGTAAATATTGCAATGAAGCGTCCTCAGCGACAAACCATCGATGGTACGGCAAAAACGTAACACTCACTTGTATGTGAGGAGAGTGAGAGCGAAAAAGAGAGCGAAGAGAGAAGAAGGCAAAGAAAAGGGCTTATAGCTGTACATATATTGTTGTTTTGATTGTTTATTCGCCTCTCTCTATCGTTCGCATAGCTCGTTCGTTTCTCGCGCGCGTTTACATCGCACCAGTGCTCAGGCTCATAGCGGATACGATTTACGGCGGTTCCACTGTATGCGTGTGCGCACTTTACATTGTAATTGTGTCTTATAAAGTGTTTCGCTGATGACGTTTCGCATGTTTCACTTCACTCGTTCCATTATATGGGCTTTGCATTGTTCGCTCCACCGTCCACACGCATACATAGAGGTGCGCGACGCACACATTCTCCCATCAACTTGCTCGCATCGATGTGTCGATGGTGAGTGCAGTGTATGACTCATACACGTTCGCACTGGGGTGAAGGTAATTTCGCTTAGATTGATTGATTTTTTTTTGATGATTGCCACTAAAATGCGGCCAATAATTACGCCATCAACTATGACTCTCGCTTAAATCGTGTTTTGAAACACTTTACCACACAGATCTAGTAAATCAAATCTTATTTTCATAACGAATTAACCGTAAAAAAAAACCAAAGAGAAGTGGTACCAACATTTAGGTATAAATTTCCAGTGCTTAAAGTACGGAATAGACAAAATGTTGTTAAATTTGAACAAGAGGCACAGAAAAATTGAAAAATAAATTTACTTCAGCAATAAATTGATTGAAATCTGGTTGAAATCATGATTTTTTTATAATTCATGTTAAAATAAATCAAGAAAACTTCCCCACGGCTTCATTCACTAGAATCATCCATGCCGAAATACTTAGCAACGCGACGCGGCAAAGTAATGGCGCTTGAGTATTTCGATGTTAGTAAACAATATTTGACAACCGCTTGAATCATACGTGCATTGGATTCGGGTCTAGACGGTTGTCGGCGTTGCGTCGTGCGGTATTTTGTCTAATTTGTGTATACACCTATCATTGAATCATTGTCGTAAATGCCAGTTCAGTCAAAACGTCGCGACGGTATTAAATAGTTGCTGTTTGCACACTGAACACACAGTAACAAGTTTCTCATGGTTTTGATTTTTCCTCGAGCATTTTTTTTCTTCAATTTGCTCAATTGACGTGTGTGTGTTTGTTTCCATTCATTAAAAAGATATATTTTTTTTTAAACAAACCGTGAAGAATCGAATTGTTCATTTTAAATGATTTAAATAATTGAAAAACGATTCAAGTGACTCCAATAAAAATGGATACAAATATATTCAAAATATTTGTATTTTATTTGTTGTGTACAATAACAACGAAAGCAGGTAGAGTTGATTCATTTGATTGGATAAATTATATGTGTGTGCTGGAATTGAAATCGTGGAAATTCATATTTAGTGGAAATTTGGTTGTGACAAAACCAAAATGTGTACCATATTTTCTCTAAATTTGACGATTAAGTGCGTTAATTAAAAACTATCGCTCGAAAAATTTGTTTGTATTTTTACGGTGAAAATAAAAACTGGGCGTATGCTTATCAAAGAATTGTTGAATGGTTCGCCGTTTCACGCTACTTCATACCAAATGCACACATATATTCGTAATACTACTAATGTGTCTACGATCGCTTTTTTTATGGATGTTGTTAGCTCGCTCATTCGCATCACTTTGTCCACATATATGTATTGGTGGCGTAAGGTGTGCGCTCGCTCACCGTGTTCAACGTTTTCTTGTGTATTATTTTATTTTGATGGATCAAGTGAGTAATCTCGAATAATGAAAACACGCTCACACACAAAAGTGATGGCATCTCTTGTGATTACTCATGTCAATCGTCGTTAGAATAATACAAAATAATTCCTAATTTCTTGGATTGGTGAAAACGGAACATTTTGTTACAATTAACTTGACGCATGAAAGTCATTTAAATGCAATTAGAAAGAAGTGTTTATGATTCAAGCCCGACAGAAATATTCGATGCTAACGACCGTTTTAACTAGCAACTCGATGAATGATTTTCGGTTGAACGGAGAACTCAAAAATTATGTGTGCATTCATATTGAATTTGTGGGTTGTTTTTTTCGTTATATTTCTGAAATTCGAAACAACATTCAATCAATGCATTATGTCATTGATGGATCATTGGCTTCGATATTTTTGTCATCGTTGCCAACAACAGCAACAACCACAGTTGCAAACGAAGGGAAATTTATTAGGGCTTCAATTGTTAACCATTTGCTGTGATTTCGTTTATGGGTATTTTCCTTGAAGACGAGTGACCGCACAATGAGTTTACTTCGGCTTAAATTGAATGAGCGAGGCAAAGATCTCTGACCCAAAACCCATATGTGCACATTGGTGTTTTTTTTTTCATTTCGGTGGCATTTTTTTCCATTCATTCAAATACGTTCGTACATTCATTCAATTTCTTTGTTCCAATCCAATAAATATTCTATTTGCATCGATAATCCGCTTAAAATTGATCGTTCACTTATTCTGGTGCACACATATGGTAGATATTTTCGTTTTGTCATTCACACCTGGAACCCCGCCAAAAGTGACAAACATTTCACACTACTCGGATTTAATCGGTCTTATACGTTGCGTTTGTCTTCAATTTTTTTTTCGTACCTTCCAAAGATCCAGTCTAGTTTTCATCTTCTGCATTTTTTTAAAATGTGTTTATTATATTATTTTTTACTTTTCATACCCGAACAGAATACTATGAAAATGCATATTATCCGCAGTACGAATGCAATATCCCGCTATTAGATCAGGCAGCCATAACCGCGACGTCATCGTTAAGGGAAAGAGGTCCAGAAAACGCGCGCTTGAATGGTAAGAATCGTTTCTATTATTAATGAAATGCGAGTTCAACGGAATAATAGCAAAGCGAGACAAGAATGTTGACTAAGTCGAATATTTATGAGGATATGACAACAACACACATTACATGTTAATTGCCACGAACAACATTCACGCACATATCCTTGTTAAATAGAGAACGAGTGCGAGTGAGTGAGCAAGAGTGAGAGTGGCCCCTTTGCGTTCATCTCTCTTTTGTATGGATTCGCTAGCAGGCAAAATTGATTTATGGTCTCGCAACCAGTTGGAGTTTTAGTCTATTTTCATTGGGTTATTGTGTTGTAGTTTCAAAACACACAGACACAATATTGCTTCGACCGAAAGAAAGTCCGTTCTATTCTCGAATGGAATGGTTGATGGTGATGAAAAAAAGCAGTCAAACGAGTGTGCATATGAGATGCGCTTGCGTTAGGGCAAAATATTGCAGTAGTCTAGTTGGAAATTGGATGCTCTTAGCATCTTCATTTTTGTTATTTGACTCCGAATTTATTGTTCATCTCGTTTAATTGCTGACATTTATCCCGATGCGGTAAAAAGGCAATGGAATATTGAATGGGGCAAATGTGGTCTATCGCATAATACACATCTGCCAATATTATTTCAAAAGCGATTTAAAATTGAAAATAAAGAAGGCTGTGTCACATACAATATTGCAATGTACCCACATTCATTGTGAAGTGGAGAGACAAACAAAACTTCATCAAAGAAATATGAAAACAAAACATGTGGAGAATGTAAACAAATGGATCTAAAATTTGATCGAATTGTGTCGAAATCGGTGAAACCACAGAGCATGCGATTGTCGTGTTTTCCTCTACTTTTGACAACGATAGAAATGAAGTATTTTTAAAATATTTCATCAAACAAGCATTCAAACCGCCAATAAATTCACATTTTTCTCAAGAAAAATCTAAAAGCCGTAGCAAGTGTGCGTAGGATTCTTGGGCCATAGCAAAAGTAATGTTTTAAAAGCATTCAGAACGATGGCAACAAGCCGAGTTACAAGAAAAAAAAACACAGAAAATTGCCCATTTCATTTCACTTTTGCGATGTGCCCGAAATTATCGTTGCGAGAGTGCATTTAACTATTTTTATTCGGTTGTATGGCAACTGTCCAAATGAGAATTTTCAATCAAATTTATGGATTTAATGATGGTATCCAAGGAACAAGCAACACACAGGAAATATTAATGGTAACGACGTTGTTTGAGCCCATAAATATTAATTTCGAACATTTCTTCTCATTGCCTACGCCGAGGCGCTAACTGTATAGAAAGTGAATGCTCACACAAATTTTTCCCCGGTAATGAGCTTGGTGGTTTCGTTATTTTGTTTTTTGTTTTTTTTTTTTTTGGAAAAAACGCGACTTTAATGATTTAATGCGTGCGGTAAATGCAAAATGGCTTTTCGAAGCGGTGCAATTCATTTTGATCTGATAGGTAACAACACCGAAAATGGCATTTACTGCACAGCTATATGCGATAAATGTTTTTTTTTATTACAATTTTATATGTGTCAATTATATTGTTTGATCTTATGTCATGATTTTGTGAGGTGAGTTCGTTCGTTTGTTGGCAAGACCGCGCGCGCACGCACACACGCCCGAAAACACCGAATCTATCGTCTGGCCCCGTTTATTCAATTCAATTCACCGAAACGAACAATTGATACACAAAAAATCGACATAAATATAAATAAAACATAAATACTTTGGTACTTTGCTCTGGTGTGTTTTTCGTCGACAATGGGAGTGCTTGCTATCGACCAAATAAAAAATTAAAATAAATGCGTTTGCCTTATTTTTGCGGCGGTGCTCGTCTCTCGTCTCTCCGTGCACCATTCGCGCTGCGAATGATAAATGCACGAAGGGTGCACGATATTGCAATTAGACTTGAGTTTAGGGGATGATCTCTTCAGTTCGACGTGTCTCTCTCATTCTCTCTTTTTGCTCTTTTGCTTTAACTGCTTTATTTGCGCTCAGACGGTTAATTTTCTAAAAATGTTTTTTTTTCACATTTTTGGGATTGCCATTGGCACATAGTTGCAAATTTTCGGCTCTTTTTCCCCGAAATCCTTCGGCTCTAATAAACATGAACTAGGCGAAGCTTGTATGCCTCACCCATTTCGCTAGAAAAAAAAACCGACAGAGTTAGAAATTGCAGACAACTACACCGTGCTGATCGCTTTTGTATGTTTAAAGGGAAACAAATATATATCGAAATGAAAATAATAAAAGTGAAGAGCCGGGCAAACATTGATGAAAAGGTACCGCACAGAAAAAAAAATAACAACAGAATAACACACATTGGCATATAGAAGGAAAAAAAACGACAACAATGAAAGTACTTTTGTCGATCGACGTGTATTTTCTGTTTCTGGCTCATTTCGTTTTTGTAATTTATTATTATTATGTTTACCGTTTCGCCGCATATATTCACCCCTTTCCGATAAATTCGAATAAATTGCGAAACACTTTGGTAACCCCATTTCATGTACTTGGTTATATTCTTTTTTTTCGGGGACTTGCGTTGCCTGGCACCGAAATCGGTTCGTGACGATGGAAAATGAGGACGTTTTAAGCCAGATAAATCGTCGACAACAATCCATATATGATGGATAGATCTATAGTTGACAAACAAAAAATGAAAACGAGAAAAGTTTGATTTTTATATCAAATAGCAGTACTTTATTTTCCCATTACCAATTTCCTTGTGATTTTATTCAATAAAACAAGAGCGAACCAGAAAGAAAAAAAAATTAACAAATTTTAACATAATTTCCCCATTTGAATGTGTGCTATCCGAAGGAATCGTGTCACAAAGTTTTCTTCAACTGTTTTCCAAGTACTTTTCGACTATATTCCGAATCGACGGCAATCAACGGTTTTGCGTCTTTCATAAGCCTTTCGAAATCAATCATTTCGAATAGTAATTCGTTTTGTGACAATTCGGTCGTATATTCGGTCGATGGATTTTTCACAGCAACAGCGACACAGTGATCGTTGTCAAGCAACGATTCCTCAAATACCCAATGGTTTTGTGGTGCTCCTTCGAACGAAACCACACTGTTTCGAACAATATCTGTTGCGGACAAGTCTACGGTGCTCAGTCGGAAGTCAATGCTTTGCAAATCGATCGTTATGCCAACGCCAATGTTTTTCACATAACTCTCTTTCAAGCACCAATGTCGCATAAAAGCGTCCGTCTGCTTTTGTTCGCCGCTACGTGCCTTTATGAATTGCCATTCGTTCGGTGTAAATGTGCTGTGCATTAGGCGAAAGAACTCGCTTAACGGCTTACCACCACTGTATTCCATTTTCATGACATCAACCCCAACAAGTTGCCGATTGTTTTCATTGAAATTCTTTGTAAACGATCCGGCCAACACGGCGTATCGCTCGTGATGCGACACATTAAAGTCAATGTGAGCAGCTATTTGATCGGTTGCATTTGGGCGGAAAAATGGTTTGCCACGTGAATCACGTTCGAAGCGTATTGCATTATAATCCAATTCAGGTAAACAGACTTTAATAAATTGCCGCATCAACAATCGACCAACGAGTGATGCTTTAAAGTCGTCAAGAAAGTGGAATTTTGCCAAACGATCCTTTTCTTCCGGTTGAATGCATGCCGTAGCCAATTCCAAATCATTTAACGTACATCGCCAGGATCGTAAATCAAATGCCCAACGTACATTCCCATTTTTTATCGACATTCTGAATGAATCACCCTCTTTTGACTTTTTTCGTCGTACACTTTTTTTTCAACCGATTTACTTCGTGAATCAGTACAAATTGGTTAGATTTTTGTTTTCGACTAGTTTTATGTTGAATTCGATTGACACGAGAGATACAGTAAACAAGATCAACAGTTTTTTCGTCCAAAACAAAAACAGACACAACAATAAGATGTGATGAACTGATGAGCAATAACACTCACATAACTTATTCGACAATTGAAAATGAAATGTCAAACGTTTGACAACGTGCTAGTGTCATGGGCTGTGCTGCCAATATAAGAGAATGAAAATGTCTTGACTCTGTATTGAAATTGTTGTTGTTTTTCTGATTTGATTTTGAGCATACGTTACAATCGGATGCTATGGGATTTATTTTGGCGTAGAATGAGAATTTAGCGAATAGAATAAGAATTTTTGAAAAGGATTCCAATTTCAACAGAGATAAGAATTCTCGAATGGATACTGCATAAAATTATGAAATGAACGGAACATCGTATAATCTTAGTCTCAGTACTTGAATGGAAACTACTACCACTTTTAAGGAGAGAAAAAGAACAAATAAACCTATTAAACAATGAATTTTAATTAAATTTTAAGCTGGAACATCATGGACGGCGAAAAATTCAGATTTTGAACAAAAGTTGATAATTGATTTGGGATCAGTTCGAAATATAACGGCGATCGCGATACAAGGTCGTCCACATAGTGTCGAATATGTTACCGAATTCACCATCAGCTATGGTTATAATGGACTTGATTATGCTGATTTTAAGGAGCCCGGTGGCAACATTAAGGTAAAACATCACCGTTCGATATCGCCGAAAGGGGAAAAATTAATTCCCTGAACTTGGCTGGCTGGCTCAGTTCATGTGATGCTATTTCTCACAAAATTTAAACTCATTTTTAATGTTGCAAGAATGCTCTCTCTCACATACACACAATAACAAAGCTAATATACCAATAACCCAGGATGTGGCTGAAATGATCTTTTCTTATTTATATTTAAGCATAACTGTTAAGCACACTAATTGCATCGAACAGCAAAATTTCAAGGTTTGAACGAAACAAAACCTTATTAACTGGTCGAAAAACTGAATCAATTTACTAACAAAATACTCGTTTCTGGGAAACGACATAGGCATTATTATTAATTATAAGTTTTAACAACAAAATTTCATACTAATTATCGAAATCAAGTGGGGTTCAAAGGTAGAGGTTGCAATTTTTATGGAGAATGTTCTAGTCTCATAATCATTTTAACAAAATCAATTATTATTTAAACTTTTTCTAAAGAATATTTGTATCACTCAAAAACTAACCCAAAATTCGTTTTTGTCTTTCTCTTCTTCATTATATGCACTCAAAAATGTTGCGCATGGCTCCCAATTTTTTTTTTTCATCTCAACTCAAATTCCATCAATTTAAAATCAACAATCAAACCAATTGCAAACTCATTTCGAAAATGGCTAACAACACGAACGCCTCGCATTGTCGCCTTTATGCCCATTCGCTATGCAAAAAAAAAACGCACAAACACCAAATCTGGGAAAATGAAATATGTAAAGCGCCCTCATCATGGACACCGATCGAAAACACTTATTACCATTTTTTAACATTTGATTTGGGTGAAACTCGAACGGTTAACAAAATCGCAACACTTGGTCGTTCGCATACAAATGAATATATCACAGAATTCGTTGTGCAATATTCGGACGACGGAGAGCTATGGCGATCATATGTTAGTCCTGGTGGTGAGGTTCAGGTAACACAAATCATCTAATTCACAAACACACATGCAACTAAATTTGTTCTCTTATTGTTGAATTTTTTTTTCCGAGTTTCTTTTTGTGCACACTCCAACCAAAAATAAAATTAACCGTTAATTCAAAATGTGAATCGTGTGTTTGGCAAACAATGTTTGCAATATTCGCTATTTTGGTTTCAAGTATTTATTGTTCCGTGTGTTTTTTTTTCTTCATTTAATCTTTTTTTTCCTTTCTTCCCCTGCGTTTTTGGCTTGAACACTTATTTGCTACTTATTTTAATATTCTACTCTATTATTCTAACCAATTTTTTTTACTTGTAGCTTCTATATTGTAGTGGGTTGAACATATTTTATCGATTGTGGCTTGTTGTTAGCTGTTTACTGTTTTAAAAATGCGTTTTTTCTTTCGTTTCGTTCGTACGAATATTGTTTTACATTGAACAGTTGAAAAAAATGAAATTGCAAATTTTCGCAGATGTTCAAGGGAAATGTGGGAGCCGATTCGATCAAATACAATGTGTTTGAGGTGCCGATAATCGCACAATGGGTTCGCATCAATCCAACCCGTTGGAGAGATCGTATTTCACTGAGAGCCGAATTGTATGGCTGTGAATACAGTAAGTTGAAATACACACATACGCTGCGAAATCATTGCAGCTTTCGATTTCAACGATTTCATGTTTATTCTTCATTTTTTTTCTTCTTTTTCTTGCACTTAGTTTCCGATGTATTGCATTTCAACGGTTCCAGTTTGGCACGATTAGATCTATTACGTGACCCAATCGCTTCACTGTATGAATCGATTCGTTTCCGTTTCAAGACCGCTTATGCCAACGGTATTGTTCTATATTCGCGTGGTACACAGGGCGATTATATTGCTTTGCAGCTCAAAGACAATCGCATGATATTGAACATTGACTTGGGATCGGGTTTGATGACAACGCTATCGGTCGGCAGTTTGCTTGACGACAATGTATGGCATGATGTTGTCGTTTCCCGTAATCAACGCGACATTATCTTCTCGGTGGATCGTGTCATTGTGCGCGGTCGCATCAAAGGCGAATTTAGTCGATTGAATTTAAACCGAGCGGTAAGTGTGAACAACGGAAGCTGCCCCTTAGGCATTTCCTTTCTGAAATGTGTCATCACAATGAAAACAGTAACAGCAACAGCAACTAAATTACCGCCTTTTTTCGTACCAATTTCAGATCTACCTCGGCGGTGTTCCGAACATTCAGGAAGGAATGGTTGTACAACAGAATTATACGGGCTGTGTTGAGAATCTCTACTTGAACTCAAGCAATTTTATCCGTGAAATGAAATATGCCTATGAAATTGGCGAATCGTTGCGATACGAAAAGATAAATGCATTCTACAGTTGTCCGGATCCACCAATTACACCAGTTACATTCTTGACACGTTCGTCGTATGCTAAAATGAAGGGCTACGAAGGCATGAAACAATTGAACGTTTCATTCTACTTCCGAACGTATGAAGACCGTGGTTTAATGGTTTACCACGAATTCACATCACGTGGATATTTGAAAGTTTATCTTGAGTATGGTAAAGTAAAAATTGACATCAAAACCGGCGATGGGCCGAAGACAACGTTAGACAATTATGATGAGCAATTCAACGATGGTCGGTGGCATTCACTCGTACTGACAATTTCGAAAAATAGTTTGGTTCTTGATATTGATCAACGGCCGATGCCAACCACACGGCTATTGGATATGACCACCGGCGGTGTGTATTTCATCGGTGGCGATGGCAAAGGAAAAGACGGTTTTGTCGGATGCATGCGAACAATTACCGTTGACGGTAACTACAAGCTGCCATCCGATTGGAAAGAGGAAGAGTACTGTTGCAAGGGTGAAATTGTCTTTGATGCATGTCACATGATCGATAGATGTAATCCAAATCCGTGCCAACATTCCGGCATTTGTCGACAGAATTCACGTGAATTCTTCTGTGACTGCAGTAATACGGGATATGCGGGCGCTGTGTGCCATACCGCTTTGAATCCATTGTCTTGTCAAGCATTCAAAAATGTGCAATCCGTTCAGCAACGAGCGAACATTCATATTGATGTGGATGGAAGCGGACCACTCGATCCATTCCCAGTCACTTGCGAATTTTACGCCGATGGACGTGTTATAACGGTGCTGAGTCACAGCAAAGAGCACACAACTTCGGTTGATGGTTTCCAAGAGCCGGGCTCATTCGAACAGAATATCATTTACGAAGCAAACTTCCCACAAATCGAAGCCCTTTTGAACCGATCATCAAACTGCTGGCAACGATTGTCCTACCAATGCCGATCGTCACGATTGTTCAACTCACCGTCCGATGAACAAACATTCCATCCATATTCGTGGTGGATTTCGAGACACAATCGTCGAATGGATTACTGGGCCGGTGGTTTGCCCGGATCACGGAAATGCGAATGCGGAATTCAAGGCAGCTGTATCGATCCAACGAAATGGTGCAATTGTGATGCTAATAATCTTGGTTAGTAGAGATTTTTCTTATGTTTACTTTGCGATGAAAATATTTCAATCTTCTTGAAAGCAAACATTCAATTGGTTTCCCATGCCAAACTCAAACTAATTGCGTTTTTCATTCCCAATTCAGATTGGCAAGAAGACAGCGGTGAAATTCGTGAAAAGGAACATCTTCCAGTGAAGGCAGTACGATTTGGTGACACTGGTACACCACTGGATGAGAAACAGGGCCGATACACGTTGGGACCGTTGATGTGCGAAGGCGATGACCTATTCAATAATGTGGTCACATTCCGTGTCACTGACGCAACCATCAATTTGCCATCATTCGATATGGGTCATTCGGGCGATGTATACTTTGAATTCAAAACAACCATTGAAAATGCGGTCTTATTCCATGCCAAGGTATGTGTTTCTTTCGAAGCTACAGGAAAAATATCAGCAAAAGACGATTTAATATTTGTTTCGCATTTTGTCTGCAGGGACCAACTGATTATATTAAGTTGAGTATTATTGGAGGTAGAAAGATACAATTCCAATATCAAGCTGGAAGTGGACCACTTGGTGTTAATGTAGAAACTAGCTACCACTTAAATGACAACCAATGGCATTCGGTGAGCGTTGAACGCAATCGGTACGTTTCATTCTACCTCATATTCGTTACGTGAGACTCACACGTTTCATGTCTAATCTAATGTCAATTTTGTATTGAAATTACAGCAAAGAAGCACGTCTCGTTGTTGATGGATCGCTAAAGGCTGAAGTTCGTGAGCCACCAGGTCCAGTTCGTGCTTTGCACCTAACATCTGAAATGGTTATCGGTGCTACGATTGACTATCGTGATGGTTTTACTGGTTGCATGCGCGCTTTACTATTGAACGGTCAACTTATCGATTTGAAATCGTATGCTAGACGCGGCTTGTATGGTGTTTCAACTGACTGTGTTGGTCGCTGTGATTCGAGCCCATGTCTCAACAACGGAACATGCTTCGAACGCTATGATGGCTACACATGTGATTGCCGTTGGAGTGCATTCAAAGGACCCATTTGTGCTGATGGTTTGTATTTTATTCGATTATTTTCGATACAACCAAGTACTGGTTATTTTTTTTCATTCCCATCAATTCTTTTTTATTCATCATTGAGTTCAATTGAAAGTAATATCATTGTAATATTTGTTTCCACCAAAAATAGAAATCGGTGTTAACTTGCGATCGAGCTCATCCGTTAAGTATGACTTTTTGGGCAGTTGGCGTTCAACAATTTCTGAAAATATTCGTGTTGGCTTCACCACCACAAATCCACACGGTTTCCTGCTCGGTTTCTCATCAAACATTTCCGGCGAATATTTGACAATTATGATTTCGAATTCGGGCCATTTGCGTGTTGTGTTTGATTTTGGCTTTGAACGGCAAGAATTGATTTATCCAAATAAACATTTTGGATTGGGACAATATCATGACGTTCGGTTTTCGAGAAAGAATTCCGGATCTACGGTTGTTTTGACGGTAATTAAGTGGTCATTTTTCAAATATCAATTCAAAAAAAATAGAATCAAATACATTTTTAATAAATTCAAAAAAAAATCAACTGCAACTAAGAAAAATTTCAAATTTTCTTCAACAGGTTGATAATTACGAGCCAAAAGAATATCACTTTGATATAAAAGATTCGGCCGATGCGCAGTTCAATAACATTCAGTACATGTATATTGGTAAAAATGAGTCGATGAATGACGGTTTCATTGGATGTGTGTCAAGGGTTGAGTTCGATGACATTTATCCACTGAAGTTACTATTCCAAGAAGCTGGGCCACCCAACGTTAGATCAATCGGCAGTAAGTTGTTTGGCAATAAATACAGTTTGTCTATTATCTAAGCGTTTGATATTGATTTTAAACAATGAATGATGTTATCCCGTCAATTGCCAATTTCAGCTCAACTGACTGAAGATTTTTGTGGTGTGGAACCGGTTACTCATCCACCGATTGAAGTTGAGACTCGACCACCGCCACCGATCGATGAGGACAAACTGCGAAAGGCATACCATCACGTAAACTCAGTACTTTTGGGAGGTAAGAGTCATTGTCTGCATGCTCATAATAGAAATTGCGAGAGATTAACGAATTTTTTACTCAATTTTCCAGTTATCCTGGCGATATTGTTCTTATTGCTGGTGGTGATGGCCGTTTTGATTGGTCGCTATCTCAATCAACACAAAGGAGAGTATTTGACGCAAGAAGACAAGGGTGCCGATATTTGCGACGATCCAGACGAGGCCGTGGTCAATTCAGCGACAGGCCACCAAGTGACAAAGCGAAAAGAATGGTTCATTTAAATCTGCTCAAAGCAGTACACATTTAGGATCAATATATTAGAAGTGAACAAGAAAAATACAGTTTTCCAATTCAAATGTAGAAAATGGCATCGGACACAGCATCCAATGCATTGAACCAAAAAGCAAAAACAAAACAAAAAATGAAGAAAAAAAAATAGATCTGATTCCATATTCGAGTAGAGATTAGGATAAATGAATCAGTAAAAAATGGTTCGTCTCATCGAACACATCAAGTCAAGAAATTTAAGCAACACAATAAAGCATCTCTGTTGATCGGTCAAATTTTACCATGCCTCATTTTGTATAAAGTCAGTGCAAAACCGAATCTCTTTCACCGTTTGATATCGATATTCACCATTTTTACAACAGAAACAAAACAGCCAACACTGTCATAATATGATGAATGCAAAATTTGCGTCACACATTCAGATGCCATGTTAAGTACATGTGATGCAAAATTGTGCATTCACATACGAAACAACAACAATATTTGTCATTTCGAGAGGAAAATTTAATTTTATTAATCTTTAAGTAATGTTTAGTCTTAGATTTCCAAAACCGTCCATATGTTTACTTACTTCATTTTTACCAGAATATTTTTTTGACAACTTTTTTTCTAGAGATAACATTTAAAAGAAAACGAAGCATCTCTTGCATTTCAAAAGAAGAAAAACACTTATTTTCGTAATTAGGACTTGCGTTTTCTTGTCGATTTCCTTATTTTGAAGATCGCATTTTTGTTCATTAGTAATTAGATTTAAACGAAAAGAAAATTTATATATTAAAAATAAATCGATCGAAACATCATCGAATAAGAAGACCTAAACAAAATGCAAATTCAATCAAGAAATTTTAATTATTTTTTTTTTTTTTCATTTTGTATCGCTCAGAAAAATGGAAAAATAACAAAAATTGTCTAAGTTTAATGTGTATGATTTTTTATTTCGTGAGGCAATTATCAAACGCAAGCACCAAGTTGAATGTTGTTTTTATGTTTATTTATTACTGATACAACAAATCGACGACCTTACTTTTTCTCATAAGTAAGCAGCAATTTATGAGCAACAAAAATTTATAAAATATTTCTGTTTTTCCGAAAAAGAAAAAAAAAATTCTCACAAAATACACTGGAAGCTAAATTTTAATTGGAAAAAATACGGAGAAGAATACAAGTTCTGGAGATCATTTCTGTAAGTTTCCTTTATTCAGGTTAATTCTTTTTCTCGTCATCATTTTTTTCTATTCAATATGAAAAACGTAATCCAATTGCTATGTATTGGATGAAAAAAATCATACAACAAATATTTTTTTTCAATCACAACGACTTCGAACAATCCAATTCTCATTTGTTCTAGTTTTTTTCAGCCAACCAAACGCGATAGATGGTCAGCTACGGCTGACGCTCGTTATCTAGATAATTTGCGTGCGGTGAACGCATATAGAACGCTCCGCTGACATTCCGTTTTTGTGACAAGCGATCCATCCAAATTCATGATAGAATCCATGAATTTGTTTGGATACCACGTCACAAAGTCAGAAAAATGATGAATTCTATCATGAATTTGGATGGATCGCACGTCACAAAAACGGAATGTCAGCGGAGCGTTCTATATGCGTTCACGGCACGCAAATTATCTGGATAACGAGCGTCAGCCGTAGCTGACCATCTTTCTCGTTTGGTTGGCTGGTTTTTTTTTATCTCATCAATATATATACTTCAATTGACTTTGATTTAATTTTCAATTTGAAAAGAAATTTCTTTCATTTTTAGTAGAAATAAAATACTTAACAATCTCACAATTTCAATCTGTCAATTAATTCAAATGTTTTCAGCAAGTGCCTTTGAGTGTGCGCTGCTATTAAGATTTAATGATAACCAAAATTGATACAAATGAAACATAAAATCGATGACTGTATATTTTGTTTAGAAAAAAGAAGTCTATCACTGTCGCTATCAAGTCATTATGTATTTTATGATAAGGAACATTAACAAACAAATTCGTTTAACTGAGTGTTCAAGTGTATTGCAAAAATAGAAAAGAAAATGAAATTTAAATCAACGCAATAAAGAAAATGATTTTCACAACAAATTTCCATTTTTCGTATAAATTGATTTTCGATTTATTTATTTTTTCGTTTCGTTTGACCTGTAATTTTCTGAAGGCTATCCAATGTGTTTGAATAAATTCTAATTTGATTTGTTTTTTGTTTGATTCAATTGTCATCGAAGGCAACTCAATTAATCGGCTCCTTATTGCGGCTGGGGGGGGGCTGTTCAAAACCAAAAATTCATCTTCGGTTGCTATTCACCGCGAAAATACTCACAAAAAATAAAGAGGAAAATGTGGCAATAAAAATGAAAAAAAAACATGGAAATAAAATGGCTTATTGTCATATCGGTAAGAATTTAGCATGTTCATTATTTGAAGAAGCGTTTGGCTTCTATTTAGATTTCATGTGTATAATTGAGTAGAAAAAAAGTTGTATTCATTATCCAGTCCTTGATTTCTCTAAAAAAACGCCTTAATGCTTGAATAAATATTTATGATGGCATTCTATTTGTGAACAATTTGAAAAACATTCTAAGCATAATCAGATAATTTGATGGGCGACAAATGGTCGGCAATGGTAATTTAAACAAAATGCAAACAAACCCAAAAGAAAGAAAAAAACAAGGTCAGTTTTCAGGAATGGAATCCATCCGAAACAAATAAAATGATGTAAAAATCGCAAATAACAAATTGTGTGTTGCCGTTGGCCCCGTGTGTTTTACAAGAATAAACAAACCAGCAATAATATGGTCACAATGACAAACGTAGCTACGATATCATTTTTCAATTTATGATCTCGATAAAATGGTTTAGTCGAGTAATTTTCGCGTCTTGATTTTCGCAGAAGCCAAATCGGTATAATGAAATGAAAAATGTCTGGTATCATAAAGCCTAAGTCCCGAATTATCTGCAATTGTGCGTGTATATGTGTGTGCGCGCATTATTTTTGTTTTTTTTTTTGTATTTTTGGTTTTCGACGTGCGATTTTTTTTTTGCGAAAAAAGAGAGAACAGGAAAAAGACAAAAAAAAGAAGAAAGAAGAGAAGAAAATTGATTGTTAGAATGATGATTAAATAGAGCATTAAAATAGCAGAAAAAAAAAACAATAAAACCAAACGGCCAGACCGAATGAATTCTAATGATTTGTCATCGCTATTGCAAATCGACTAGAAATTATACATCAGCAAATCACATTATTTCTATCAAACATAATCACGACTAAGGCTACGGTAAGAAAAATTAAAATTTCCACTTAATTCGATGTTTTATTGAATTGTGTATGTGTGTTTTGTGTGTATGTCTGTGTGCGTGCATGTAAGTATAATGTTAGTGTGCATTGGTGAAGTTGAGAGAGTTTCGAGTGTTTTGTATGGTGTAATTGGAAATGTAAATGGCATGTAAATTTGTTGGTTGATATTGTAAAAGTTTTGTAAATAAAATCTAATTCCATTTAAATTGATATGTACCTGATGAAGCAAGCCTTCACCTTTGAAAACATTCGCAATGAATTGATCAAACCCACTTGCTACAATATGCAGTATGGCTATGCCGACGACAGAGAGTACTTTTCTTGGCGTTACTATATTTTCTAAATTCGCTAAATGAAACACTACACTAGTCGATAATAATTCGGTTATCTAAACGATAAACAAATGAAGAACATTTTTTTTGGTATACGAACAAAACAAAAAATAAAATAAAAATAAACGAGAGAAAGAAGAGAAGAGAAACACACAAATGAGAATATCGCAACGATTAAACAAGATATGTATAAATATTGTTTGATAACAGTGTTTCTTGTAATCCTTCATATTTTCTGAATGTTATATATTAATTGAATGCTAGATCTAGGAGGGTCATTGAATGATAATATGAACGGGATGAATGAAAGGTAAGGGGGAAAACATTGTCGAATCAAAGAAAAAATGGAGATTGAATGTATTTACCGTAAAAAACATTTGGTGGTTCCATTGGCTGTAAAAATCGTCATTGTAATAGTTAAGAAAGGCCCACCATCCATAATAATGCGAGAAAATCGATAGGCAGAATAGGAATATCATGGAGTATCGCACCGATTTCAAAATCATTAGGCTGATTAGATGTTTTGCACATTCGTACAGAGCGATTATAGCAATGACTGTCAAAATCCATATTTTCATCGTATTCTCCGTTGCATTGAAGTATAAGTGCTTGTAGCTGGCAATGCCTGACTCATATGTGCCTGCCGAAAATACCGAGGTTCAAATCAATTTCAGAGTAAAATTACGTGCGTACGAGTGTCTGTATGTACACTACCGTGCAAAAGTTTGGAACCACTAGGTATTTTTCATACAAATTGACCATTTTTGGTGGACTCATTAACATATTTCGGAAACATCTGCACTCTTGATATTTTGTGCATAGTTTCTACAACGTTTCAATAGTAAATCACAGGGGTTTCATCAAAAAATATTCACGTATTTAAAAAATATATCAATTCGAATTTGATCTGTTTTAATCTTCATACAAATTTGATCATTTTTCACACAGTACAAATTCAAATTGCTATATTTTTGAAATTCATGAATATTTTTTGATGAAACCTCTGTGATTTACTATTGAAACGTTGTAGAAACTATGCACAAAATATCAAGAGTGCAGGTGTTTCCGAAATATGTTAATGAGTCCACCAAAAATGGTCAATTTGTATGAAAAATACCTAGTGGTTCCAAACTTTTGCACGGTAGTGTATGTATATATATATATATATATATATTGCGACTGTTCAACTTAATAAGCTTCATAAATGTTTCAGTCGCGCACATCAAATGCAGCCAAATCAAATTAAAATAAAACTCAAAGTAATAATAACATATGTTATGTACGGATCATGCACGTATGAATATGGATGGATATGATGTGTATGTTTGTTACCTTTGAATACGGTGTCCCAGCAGGAGCACGAACAAAATCGGCGGTCAACGAAACGAGCATAGTTTTGCCAATAGAACCATAGTACAACCATATGTGATATGGGTATGACGATTGGACCGAGGATTCCCAAAATGCCTGGAATCCATATCGATAAACGCATTGCCCACGTGCACTTTTTCAATTCCTTTTTTTTTCGAATGAAACGATCACAGACGGGATGCGTGGGCACCAGCAGCGGAGAGAGGTTGCGAGCGAGAGATGAATCGAAAAAAAAAACAAACAAAAATACACCCAAACATAAAGTTAGCACACAATTTTATTCAATGTATTTCACCCTCGATTCAAACTTTTGTTGTCTTTTTTGCACAAAACACCGTGAAAATTGAACGAGCGAACCAGATCCTAAATAAACGGTGAATCAATCTGGATTCTTTCGTTTCGCCCAAAATGAAAACAACAAATCCAATACAGAATAAGAAGAAGACAACGAATGACGTCGACTACTAAGGCAACGGAAACACCAATTGTGTTCGGAAAATGGAATGAACAAAATCAATGCTTGTCGCACCATAGAGATGATTGGCTGAATACTATTGACGGATTATTGATAAAACACTGTTTCATCTTTTGTTTTGTTCCAATTTCTGTCTTCTTTAACTACCATTCTAGTCAACCAACCAACCCTCGTTTTCGTGTTTTGTTCATCCCGTCTACGCGGTCGGTCTTTGCCGAAGCATTGTCAATGCTGATCAATAAATTTTCACAGCCTTTTGCAAATTGAATACGCGTCCAGAGATTGAAATGGAATGAATATAACAAAGAGATATATAAGTAAGTACCTATGATAAAAAGAAGCAACAATGCTGCACGTATATATCGTGCGTTTCACGTAATTCACGTGTACGGATTGAATTATGTGAATGTCGGGATGAATTTACTTTTATGTTTTAAAATTGGATTTTGTACACCGGAAATGTTTCCTCTGGCTTGTCAACATTTTTTCTGCGTCGTTTTTCGTCGTCATCTGGTCCCGTCCAGCCAATTGAAGTAAAAAAAATAACACAACTTTCACATCGTCGTGGCTCTTTTTCGATTCTTTTTTTCTCGCTGTCTGTTTTCGTTGCCCTTACTGTGTAAAGAATTTACGATAGCCTCGGAGAAATGAAACTCCATTCATTGTTGGAAAACTTCTTTCGCGCTCGGCACAGACACACAAACACAAACACACAAAATTCAGCAAACTTTACCAATCAAGCAGTGGTTAAACATTAAAAATAATGACGCAAAATTCCTTATGTTTTCCAGGAGCTTTTCTTTCCAGTCAATTCGAACGCATTTCAAACTTGTGGTTTTGTGAAACCACACTTGGAAAATCTCGCAAAATTCTTCGAATGTACAACAAAATGTACTATTTATGACACGCAGTATTCTTTTTACTCGTATTTTTTTTTCTTTTTTTATGTGTATGTCGAATCCTTAAAAGCTCATAAAACTCAAAATATTGCATTCATAGCGAAACGAACGCACATAATATAACCGAATATATTACTTGACAGAAAATCGCGTGTAGTAAACGTGTTTAAGCCAATTCAATTGATTTTCAAGAGCGACTCGACACATTTTATGCAAATGCTATCCATGTACGAGTGCGTAGGATTTTTTTAAAAGCTCAGACTGTATAATCTCTCGTGTATTTCGTGTTTATTTTTTTTTCTGCCTTCCTTCTTGTTAGGAGGAAAAAAGTTTTTGCCAAAGTATACTCTTCCAAAAGCAAGATACGGAGTGAATTTTGTCGTTTTGATTCAAACACACACACACACACACAAATTATGGAACAGGAAAGAAAAAAAACGAAAAATTTCGGTGCTTTCGTTAAACAAATGGGAATAGAGCACAGACTAGCGAAAATATAATCACCGAAGCGACAAGCCGAATGCTATAATAGCTTCACGGAAAATGTGACAGCAGGCACACAAGCAGCGTGTATACGTATGTGTGCGTTCCGCGCACAAGCTGGCCAAATATGGAAAATCGAGTGTATTGCGAGAGTGAATCGAGTTACATGCACACAAACACATATACGAAACGGTTGGCTGCAGAGTGTGTGCATACACAATGGTTGCTAGCTGACTGGCTGAAGCATCGAGCACACCGATTAAACCTCTTCGCCACCAATTAACCCGTCGAACAAGTGATTTTATTAGAGCATATTATTACTTAAAACACCGTTTGGCAGACACGTTGACTTTGTGTGTGTGCGTGTTTCGACACATAAACATCGATTTACATTCACATTAGGGTAATTACTCTCGCTTGCGGCACATTTTTCTCGGTTTTGGTCCACATTTACTTTCATACGCAGCACTTCGAACTCACCACCGACAACTACCGTTTCCTTTTGATCGCTTCGCACAGATAAATGCAATGTTAATCACCTGTTTTTCCACAACAATAAAAGTTCTTCCGTTTATTCAATTTTTTTTTGTTCTTTCTTTCATTCATTCTGTGTTTCCTTTCGGTACTTTTTTTTATTTGTGCATGGTTTTTAAATTACATTCGGATTAAATAAATTCATGTTGCAGTTTTTGGTTCGTTCTTTGCGTAGCATTGAGCTTTTTGATATTTATTTATCACAATATACATCACATCTATTTACCTATTGTTTTTAACGCTAAATTTAAGCACACACCATGTGAAGTGGTTATTTTGGAATAGTTCTCTGTTGTACTTAGAATCTTAATTTGTTTGTTTTTTTTCATTCTTTTGCTTAGGTAGGAATATTTTGATCGTTACTCATTCGGCTATTTTTTTTCTGACTTCATTCATTATTCTTTCAAAATACACTTTTTTTCTTATTTCAAATGAGTCCTCTTGCTACGATTGGAAAAAAGGCAAAAAATGACTAAAAAATAAATAAATAGGCGAACAGAGATAGAAATCTGCGCTCATTACAATTCTCGAATCGTTAAAAAGGGTATAAATGAAACATGGAAAAATATTTGTTTAGTCGAAAATTGCAATTTACAAATTTTTCATTGTCGGTGTGTTTTGTCCTCATAATACAGGTAGAAGACATTCACAATGCGGGACAATTTAGTGTACATGTCATTCGTTTCCCATCAAAAGCGTATATATTGCAATGTCGTTTGATTCGTTGATTGATTGTATGGTTTGATGGCCGATTGGAATGGTTTCATTTTACATCATTACAAAGCCGATATTATTTGAATTGTGATAAGAAGCTAGGATGCGATGGTGGAAAAAGCATCAAGTCACAAATTGAATTAAATGTTTGCGGAGGAGAAAGAGAGAGAGAGAGAAAAAGAAAGGGAGTGAGCGTGCGAGCGCAGCTTTGAACGAATTTATTCGTCGAATGCACTGCACATTCAATATGTGCCTAATGTAAATGCGTGTGCCATTCGTCGAAATATGTCCCGCTCTCGTCAGAAGAATGCGGCCACATTGAATGGGAATTGCATTTCTTGATGTAATCACATTGAACATTGCACATATGAAATTGCTTTAGGCAAATTGGTTTGGGTTTTATTATTGTAGAGTTGTATGCCATACAAATGATGTTACGTCAAAATCAATCGGTTTTATCATCATTCAAAACTATATGTATATTCCCGTTGATCGAATTTCGGTGTAAACTTTAGTTTTGGAATCGCGTATGCTAATTGAAAAATGTTGTTAGTGTTGTAGCTTTGTGATAATGGCATGTTGCACACATACACACACATGCACAATGCAAATGATTACCACAAAACAGTTAATTGATTCATGTGTGTATGTGATTAGTAGTTCCTTAGCGGTTTTCTTAACGTCTTCTCTCTTCAAGGTCGACAACTCCAACTTTACTTCATGTCAATTGTTGATGTTCGACGTGTGTATCGTGTGGTGCTCACAAAACGAACACTCATCGTTTTCGTTGTGGTTGAAAATTGGTTTGCACTGCCAATGCCAAATTTGACATAAACAAAACGAAGAATTTCCTTTTTAAATTGTGGATGGGTCATCGAGTACAGATATGGATTTATGCAAGCGGATGCTTTGCAGAATAAAGCCGGGATCATCGAGTACAATGGTGTTAGATATTCTTTTTTGCCGGTAATGCCAAACAGCGCTACAATTGAATACGGTGTCCATGCGATAAACCATAGCGCGATTACATTTATCACAACAATCATTAGCTTATGCTCGATCCGATTGCGACTTCGGTTCGATTGAATTTTGCCCGTTGCAATCACTTCCTTCATGATTTTCGAGTAGCTGTAGATAATTATGGTGAGAGGAACCATCCAAGCGCCAACAAAAAATAAAAACATAAATACTCGAGCCGATGTACGTTCGTCCAAATAATCAAAACTGCAGCTGGTCAAAAAGCCTTCGGGCGTGTATCTACTGAAACCGATGTCACAAGCGGGCATCACGGAAAATGTAAAACTGTATAGCCATACAACGGTCACCATGATTATTGGACGCCATTTCTTACTTCCAAATATAGTTGGGTTCAATGGATAAATAATCACAAAGTAGCGTTCGAGCGAAATTGCCGTTAAGGTTGTTATTGACACCGTACCGGTTAATCCACCGATGAAACCATACAATCGACATGCTGTAAGAAAGAAAAAAATAGTAAAAATAGACAAACGAAGTGTAGAGCTATCACTTATGGAATTATGCGACGAAAAAAGCTTATGTAGAAGTAAAGTTTTATTTAGATTGACCCGAACACCAGAAAATACTGTGACCAACTTTTTTCATCAAATAATAAAAGTCCAAATTTGGAAGCCATTCCGATAATAAGAGTACCTCACAAAATACACAACCAATAAATGAACGCTCTAGAATGAAAACTACGTCTGTTTCGTTTTTTTTTTCTACTTAAACAAAATCAAACATTGATTTTCATTCTAGAGCATTCAAACGGTCACTGGCGGCTTCTAAAGACTTGTCTATATACTTTGAAAATGTGCTGGTCTCGTTTCTGGGGAGCAAGGCTATTTTTTCCTTATCGCACAGTGTAATCTATCGCCCAACTTTATGCATGCCAGTGTGGAAGAACGGTCACATTTGCAAATTAAAATAGAAAACTTACCAAATTCACCGAGAGCTGGGCCAAACTTCATACTGTTATAAATAAATATCGGAGTTTTAGCCAACATGAGAAAGTCAGATATTGCCAAATTTATAACCAAAATATTAGCTGAAGTTCGCAAAATTCGGCAACTGTTTGGAAGAAGAGAGGACACAAAAAGAAAAGTGATGAATAGCTGATTGGAAAATTGGGTGGGTGCATCATGGTTTTTGATAACACCAAAAAATTCCACCAAACCCATATAAATTTTAAGGTTTGGATGTAAAATTTGATGATTGGAAAAAACTGTGTCAGCGATAAATACAGTCACAGATAAATTATTGTGTTACTTATTTTACACAAAGTTCATGATTCATAGTTTTTTAAAAAAAAAACATTGCTAAGTTTGTTTCTATAAAATTTCGTCCTAGTTTACTCTTTCTATTTCAATTATTTTTTATAAAATTATTATAAAAATGATTTGACATAAGCGTTGGATTGTGCGTAACGAATTTCTTCTGAAAATCATATGATTTCTAAATACCATATATGAAAAGGCATATATGTCTTGTTTTTGAGGTATCAATTTACTTGATACAGTTAATAGATTTTGGAAATTGTGTCACATTTGTGCATGAATAATCGAAACACAACGCTTTCACCGGGCCAAAAATTGGTTATATTTGCTTTATAAGCATCAAAAGCATCAGAATCTCCAGCCGTATAGACAATATTTAAACTGAATGATGACTTTTCCGGTGCCATGTGTCTCAACGCAAGTTGATATTTTTGTTTTGGATTGCATGTTTGATCGTATTCCTGGCATAAGTTTCGCTATTGGTAATGGAACAAAGTTGTTTAGCTCCGATGAACTTTGACAAAAACTGAAGTGCATCTATTGATGAAAACTATTTTTATATGTTTGGCACATTCAATAGATTGTTGTGTGCATTCAATCAATAGAAATCAAGCGCAATTTCACAAACTACTCCAGTAAACGCAAATTACGACATTTTCCCGTCAATCCATGAAGATGTTTTAAAACATTTCTATTCATTAAAAATAGAAAAAAAAATCGCCGCAGAAAATACCTAAAGCGAAGTTTGTTTATTGAGTTTTCTTTTTGTTTACATTTTCCCATCATTGAATTCCCCCTTTTCATCGAATTTTTTGGCTGGTGGAAAAACAAAAAAAAAACTCTTCTCGACGAAAAAAGGATTAAAAGAGAATTTTTAAGCTTTCGTCTTCCTTTCTATTGATTCGTTTCACAACGGGGATTGTCAATACAAGAGTATAATTTTGAATTAAACTCGCTAAAGTCCGGGATTAAAGTACAAATTAATGGCGTTATCTCATCAGCATGATAATTTCTACGAATTTGTGCATTTGTGTGCGAGTGTGTACGTAGAGAGAAAGAGAGTTGATCTCTGATGTGGAACATATCTATAAATCTATATACACTTCAAATCTGTATAATCTATTCATAAATCATCATTTATTTGCTCGGTCATTGAATATTTGGGCACGCCTTTGAGAATGGATCTTTCAATTTTTCATATTCAAATGTGCACTTTTGATTTTTGTTCTTCATTAACCCATTGCATTTCATCACGTTCGTTTAATCAATTAAATTTTGCATGAGAACACATTCTACGTTCATTGACAGTGCGTACACCTAAAATAATATTACAGCAAACTGATTGAAAAACTTAATGATTGCATCAACAAATTTACGTTCAGTTAGTCTATCACACTAAAAACCATCGAAATGCATCCAAACCAAAGTAGTATTGAATTCTACGGAATTTGTGTAGAACCACACCATTTGATTCATCTTGATTTGATGTTTTTCAACCTTAACTCGACTTTTGCACCACAACACACACGCGCACGCACGCAAAAAGTCAAATAAATTGCTTTCGAAATCAGGAGAAAATCATTACCATGGTCAGTGAACAGTGACTGAATGGGATTTTCATGGGAAATCCATTTACAATTTTATTATCAGCGCAAATTGTTCAACCACCTGATCTACGTTAAATACCTTTGATTTTGCATCTGGAAACCGGTGGTGGTTTTTATCCTAACGAGACGATTCGTTGTATATAAGATTTATTGCTATCACGAATCACGGATACAAATATTTGTGCATAAAAGCAATGTAATTTGAAAAGTGGTGTATTTATGCTTTTGACATCTGCAAAAGACATTGTTGAATTGATTGCTTACAAGCACAAGGGCGAGACGAAGAGAGAGAAAGGGAATGAAAATAAGTACAAATTCCTTTTTGCACAAAAGAAATTTCTCTGTACCGGTTGTGTCTTTGTTATTCAACATTGAGTTGCGAAGTCTGTGGGTGGAATTGTTGATGTTGTTTTTTTTTTACTTTCTTGAAAAGGTGGAAAAATCAATTAGGAAACTACTTACCGCAAAAACATGTAGACAACTAAGGCGTTTCCGAACATGCCAACAACCATAATGAACAAATAAATCATTGCCAGTGTATAATGCTCCCACGGCTTTGGTGGATCGAATCGCATCCAATGTATATTAATTGATTCGAGAAAAAGTGGATCTAGGTAACCATGATAAGATGATAGTGAAAAGTAAACGCTGCAAAATAGAAACCATTTTAGAATAATTAGCTGTGATTGCTTCCGTCCTTTGAAATTCAAAGAAACGCAGTGCAGAAAAAGAAAATTTCAAGCTAGATTGTGTTTATTGGGCATACATTTTAATATTCGGTGAATGCCACTGAAAAAATATTCATACTTATTTAGTGCGTGAGAAGCACGCGGATGAGACGAAACAAGGCGAAAGAGAAGCGGGGCAACTCCATACGAACGAACGATATAGCGCGCATACATTTCGTCACTCCGTCGTTAGAATACGGACATAAACACAAACACGTAGTACCCATTAACTCTATGTTCTAGTTGCGCGCTTCCCTTTTGCTTTGCTTCATCTCATCCGCATGCATCTCACTCACTAAATGAGTGACCATGCGTCTCACGCACTAAATAAGTATGAATATTTTTTTAGTGGCATTCACCGAATATTACAATGTATGATATTAGGATCATAAACATCTGTAAATGGAGTCAGTCAGCAGCCGTATAGCGGCTAGTTGATAGGAATGAACAAGAAGAACAGCTTTGATTGGTGTATTTCGGACGTTGCGCGGCTGTCGCTAGCAAATCTTCACATATTCTAATATATATATATATGTATATATATTGATACGAAGCATGGTGGGATAGATTGCGTGTTGTTGCGATAAAACGGTCGCTAAGAATCTCATTCACAGTTATTTCGTTCATCTCAATATACACTCTGAATGCTTCTTAAACATTTGCTCATTTTCCCTTAAACCAATAAGAAACTTATTTTCTTCTTTTTTGTTCCGCGTTCAATCAGTCAAAGTAAACAAAGAGGCGATGCAAAAGGAACAATGAAACTTTGCTTAATTTTCTGGACATCATCATTCAAACCAATGAATTGAACCTTTTCCTTTTTTTTTTATTCTCAATTTAGGACCGAGTAAATGTGTATTGGGCTTTGTGATACGGGTATACACGCAGAGAGCGTGAGAGACACGATACACAATAAAACTGCTTAAATAATAAAACTTATTTATTTTTAAATAAAAAAACTTGAAGATTGAGTGCAACGATGGTAATGACGATGGTACATGGTAATGAGAGCCATACTTACCTATAAGACTTGTTCTTAGTCCATTCTTCAGTTGTTGAAGTGTTGTACGATTCCACTGGGTTGGTTTTCGCCAGCATGTACAATGAAATCAATGATAAACTCTTGAAGTAGATTGATATGTTATTGAGTCCATATAAGTATCGCGCACTGTGATCGAAACAAAGAAAGAAAGAATAACGAAAACGAAAAAAAAAATTAAAAGAAAACAGAGAAGTAGAAACATTTTTCGTATTGAGCCAACATAAGAAAATGATGAAACCTTCTGAAATTTTTACGTGGAACACCGTGAATGCACGTAAGAATTTATTGATAAGATTTTGATCAGCAGAAGAAAAACGAAGAGTGGAAAAAAACCATGAATGCAATATCTTCTATGACATGACGGAACAAAGGGATAATACTTCACGAGAAATTATTAGAATTTCGATAAGCAGATAAAAAAGACCATCCAAAATTGGAACAAACTGGCCAACCATTCGGTCAATCATATTCGATATGGAAATTGTATATGTTTATGGTTTAAACGGGGCGTCTTAAGGCGTATACACCATAATTTTCAATAACAATGACCTCTTTTACCTTCAATGGACTTGATTATTGGCCATTAGTATGCTGCGAAACCAAGAAAAAAACATATGCTAAGAAAGTGAGTTTAGGAGTTGATGAAAAGATATATACGACCAATGTTCGACATTATCAAATGTGCTGGTCACATAACTGACGATACGAATCAGTGAGTTCGTCACTAGACATGTACCAAACAAAAGTTTTTTTTGGCATTTAACCTACATGTGCATGTTTTTATGACCTTCAACCGTTCAACGTTAGTATCAACAACTCTGTGCGTACATAGAGGAAAGTTTATGTTTTTTCTTCTGCAATGTTGCCACTCGCTACTGCTGTCGTAGTTCGTGTGTTGACAAAACTTGTGTGAGATATATAATTGACCAAATGATTGCTTCCAAGAACGAGTCTTCTCACAGGGCAAATTCCACCTCTAAACATATTTTCATATTTTATTTTGTGTGACGTTACTTTTTTTTCTCTCTTCATAATCCTATGCGAATTTCGTTGGCGGCTGTTATTCATTCCAAAGCACTTCATAATAACTTTATGTGTGAGTGTCTATATACGTATATATATATATATATATTTTTAAATCCCGTTGATGATACTTATGCATTTTTATGCACATAAAAATCTCCTTTGAAGCAAGTAATCCGCTATTGTCAGTCATTATTAAATGACATAATGCCAACATCTATGCGTTGTGCATGTTTTCATTTATGCGTTGTACACAGCTAAAATGAATATATAATATTCTATAATAAATTTTGAAAACTAGTTGTCCAGTCAAATTTTTCTCTTTTTTGGTCATACTAATTGGTTGTTTTTTGTTGTTGTGATAATACGATTGGAATGAGGTTAGGCCTATGCTAAAAATAAAAATCACCGCCATCATTTTAAATTGGGTGAGTTTTGTTTTGAAATTCGATAAAATGTAATTTGAACCGTGAATATGAATACAAAATAGAAAATTCACCATTGAATTAAACGGTTGAAAGAATGAAAACGGAACGAATGGACGGACACGCAGGCGGACGAATGAACAAGCTGGAGTGTGAGGGTGTGATGGATTCCATGCAACTCAAATTCAAACGAAAATCGCTCTGTCACCATAGATTTGTCGTATTATTATCCTTTTTAAATGCTAATGATTACAAAATCCCATGAATCGATGACTGTGCAGACAGACAGACTAGAGAGAGAGAGAGAGAGAGAGAGAGAGAGAGAGAGAGAGAGAGAGAAAGAGAGAGAGAGAGAGAGAGAGAGAGAGAGATAGAGAGTGAAATCGACAAAAACATATGATTCGTAAATTCGTATATAACAAAAAGCCAATTGTACGAATTGATTTTTTTGGGAATGTCAATAATATTCATTTTACATTTTTTCGCGTTATGAATGGAATCGACAGAGATACAGAGGCACGACATCGTATCACATTCCATTGCGTTGGATGTCACTCACGGAATTTATCAAGCATCCAAAATTCCAATTATATTCACGAGTGGCATTTCGGGAAGAGACATAGCGACTCACCAATGAAAAAAAAGAGCTCAATCATTGCCATGGTGGGTTTATGTGTCTCGTGGCGGTTGTATTTCATAATCTCCAAAACGTTTGATTGAAGTACGCACATAATTCGAAAATGGAATTTTTCAAGTGGTTCTTTAGAACAATCTATATTTGCTAAACATCATGAATGCAAAGAACTTGAGAAAAAACAAACAATCTTCGAAACTCCGGCAACATTAGGGTTCGTGAAAAAGAAGTTACATTTACAGAGTCCAATGTTCAGCAAAGTGAGTTTATAAGTCAACAGTCACTATTCACCACTGATAGCAACCAATGCATTTAATGCTCACCAAACAAATTAGTCGTTGCACAACAAAAAACATCAACGTTAATGCTTATCCCATCAAAAAATTGAGAAGGACAGAGAGAGAGAGATTACACTCTCAAAAAGTTACATCTATAAATTTAATGAAAATGTTACGGTTGATTTATTCGTATATATTGTAGACACAATGGCTCCAAGCAACTTATCACCCCACCATACCACACACTTTTAAAATTCGAATTAAAGTATTAATGTATCAGTGATTTACCATTTTTTCCCCCAGAATACGGTTATTTAAAAAAAAAAATGTCCACTTGAAAACTATGCTATATTTTTGCTCTTCTTTCGTTTCGTTTTTATTTTTAATGAAAGGAAAAAATATTCCACAATTTCAATATCGTAAATTCTCTTTCAGTTCACTGATTACAAATTCATCAACAAACGAACGAACAAAAAAAAAAATGATTGGAAATTCCGTTGAGTGCACCACTGATTTTCGTAACTATTTTGTACTCGTATATATCAGATGGCCAAGAGACGAACTCGAAAGCTCGTTCGAAGTTCAACGCGGTTGATTCAAAAATGAACGGAGATGTGTATCTTCCGCTGTGCTTGGCTCTCAGTTTGGCTCAATTTAATCGCTAGCTGTCTGTGCTCAGTGAGCGGCATTCGCAATATGTGCACGATTAATACGCGGATGTATCAACATCAGTCATCCATGATGTTGGATTCGATGAGATACTCTGCTGCTTGCAACCACAGTGGACAGTTTGTATTTAACGGGAGGAGTAAGAGGTGGAGGATAGTAATGTGTTGCTTTGCTTTTTCGCTCTCGTGCCATTATTGTGTTTCTTTGCACTCTCATTCCTGTGGTCATTAGCGTTTTTGGCATCTTAAATGAAAAATAATGAAAATCGGTTGAGATATGAGAGACACAAAATCGTTGCTTTGGTTCAAGTGCGTGTGTGCATATAATTTCGGTATACAGACAATTTGTGCGTTGATAGGATGATTGACTATGGTACACTATGGTTAATACATCATCCAATGGATGCTGAGACATGTCTTCATTTCGCTGTCCTTACATTCGTTCGTTCACGAACAAACATGGTTACGAAGAGTTTGGAACGGGTTGAAATAGTATGTGTCACTGTATTTTTGCTTTTTGGTAGAAGCAAATTGCCCGCGGCCAAATTATCGGCGTCAACGGTTCAAAGTGTACAATTCAAATAATGTCTAGCACAAAGTTTCAATATGACTTTCTCTGTAGCCACTTGAAATATTTCAAGTTTATTCTATTCCGTTCTATCACAATACCAATTCTATTGAATTCGATTATTTTTATCGCATACAATGTTACGACGATTTTATTGAAATATCTTCTATTCGCTGCTGTTACACTCCTTGACTAGCAATTATAAATGTTTATCAAACATTCGAGTTTACTTACAATCTGATATGGCAACGCTATTATTGAAATTAGAGTGGAACAATTCCATGAAATTTTTTTTACACTCTATGATCACTTTGTTTACTGTCTGATAAGACGAACTGACGAAGATTATTTCCATTCAATGCGTATTTTTTTTATCTTTCTCTCGCAATAATCCATTCATAACAAACTGTTCGTTCAATGAGCATTTTGAATTTTTGTATTGCGTGCTGTTTGCAGCGTTCTCTATCGGGACATCAGAAAACAAATGCAACACACATTTGACATATGTTCTTGTCATCACTAGTTTTCATAACGCGAGAATATGTGGTCGAATAGATAAAGTCGTACAAAAACAATATTTTACTGTGCGAAAATTTGTTGCTTGCTTCTCAATGATGTTTATTAAATGGGTTCGCCGAAAAAACATGGTCACAGTGTAAAGCAGAGGAAAAAAATTATCAACAAAAACATTCGGATTAGGGTTAAAATCGTGGTGGAGTTGTAATAGTTGTTTAGGATAATTAGTGTCGATTGAGTGATTCACAAATTTGGTATGTGAAAGAATAAGAAATAGTGACTCTTTTGTTTATTGTCATTAAAAAAACTTGAACGAAATTGTTTCTAACAGAAAAAACCCATTTTTTTTTCTTTCAGAATTTTCCAAAATGGTTGCACGAAATAAACCGATAATTCCCATTAAGTTCCCGTTTGTGCACGTCATTCTGTCACATTTCATTGTGATGTTTTGTACGATAAGTTTCTTTGAAGACGAGCATTCCATTCGGACCGGAAAATTGCATTCGCCAATCACATTGATTTTGGTTGCGGGCGAAATAATACGCTGGGGCATTAGTAAATATGCCTTTGGCCTGGATGTTGGCAGCAAGGAATATTCAATATCCGGTTCTCGGCCGACGTCAACGAAGAATACATCTGTGGTGGCGCACATCAAAAAGACTTGCAAACTGTGTGCATTGTTGACGATATTTGTCTTTGTTTTCATTGTGGTATGCATTCTAATGGGTGCACCGTACCATCAACACTACGAGGAAACGATTGCATTGGCCGTGCTGTTGATGTCACTTACAATTTTGCCGATTGGTCTGTTTTTGGGACCATCGAAAACTGTTCAGTATTTATTCTACGATACGTTCGAATTGAGTTCAACGTTTGATGTTTGGCAACTCGAACTGTTGCAGTACAACGCATTCGGTACATTGGTCGGAGCATGGGCTGGCTCTGTGGTGGCCCCACTTGATTGGGATCGACCATGGCAGGCGTATCCAATACCAAATGTGGTGGGTGCCGTTCTTGGATTCTCATTTGCCAACATTCACACTTTTCTATCGTCAATCGTACAAATTAGCGACCGAATGATCGATTTGTCGCTGATTTCAAATGATAAGAAAACCACTTGAGACCAAAACCATTCGAATTCACATACAAACATTTAGAAGCATAAACATTTTTCAGTTGTTATTTATTCAACTTTTCGATTATTTTTTCATTGGTTTAAGTAGAAATTCATCGTTGGTTTGTTGAATGTGTACGCATATTTTGTCTCTGTTTCACGCGATATTAGAAATAAATTGAACAAAATCATTCAAAACGAAAAGCATAGTTTTCTTTGAAGTAAGAAGTAAGTATGTAAGTATGATTTAAATCATGAAATTTTTTTCAACAAATCACTATTCAGCGATTTAACTCTTCATCAAAAGTCTCTCTGTATCTCAAGCTCTTGTACTTGCAGTGGAATTGAAGACGGATCAATAAATTTTGTGATAGATGTGTCACTAAATCGTTCTCTAAATAAAATATTTATCTCCAACCAATTTAAAATTTGTTCATTTCGATTTATTTGCTTGTCAAATAGAGTAGTTAGAATATTTCCAAAATGCACAGTTGAAGAAATGTATCTGAAGTTATTGTTTTTTTTACATCCTACTCATATACATGATAAATCTTACTCATTTGATATCTGTATCTTCAATTCTTATATCCCTGTCAGTCGCTTTTACTATTTTTAATTTAAAAAAAAAATCGCATAATCACCCTGTGTCAGAGCTCTCATTTGAATTCCATAATTAAGCATTCGGTACATTTGTTGGAGCATGGACTGGTTCTGTGGTGGCACCATTCAATTGGGATCGACCATGGCAAGCGTATTCAATACCAAATGTGTTGACCGCCGTTCTTGAATTCTCATTTACCAACATTCACACTTTTCTCTCGTCAATCGTACAAATTAGCGACCGAATGATCAATTTATCGCTAGTTCAAACGATAATAAAACCACTTAAAACCATATCTATTCGATTTCACACACAAATACAAAAGTTTTTTATTTATTCAAATTTTAGAATTCCTTTTGCTTAGCAATTATCGTTTGTTTGGCATGTATTAAACATATTCGGTTTCAGTTTCATGCGATATGTGAAACCAAGAAAAACATTGAACATAAAGATAAGAAAAACCCCAGTTGTATGCATTTTTTAACATTTGCATTTTTCATTTTTAATAAAAATAGAATATTTTTCTTTGGAAACATTGTTCTCAAATACTCAGAACACTACCAACAAATGCTTGACTAATGTGAGTTTATTTCAAATTCGGCTGTCACACAACCAATCCTGTAGCGGCGTTGAGGAATTAAATGCCATTTATGTGAATCAAAATTGTGGGATTTCGCTTGTGTTATGTCCCTCAGTACTTTGACAATTTTGGGTATGGAACGAATGAATCGGTGCGAATTTGTGGATGATAATATCTGAGAAGGGAAAAAAATGTACCGAAAATTAAGTGAATGTGGTCACATGTGTAATGTTATTCACAACAAATTGTATTTACCTCCAGAATAAGGAACTACCACGTTTGTGTTGATTAGTTGATTTCAGGTGAGTCAAACAATCCGACCAGTTCTTGTATACGGGCATATGAGGTGGGGAACCAGCTTGAAGTCTATGTACACAGAAGAAAAGGTTTTATTAAAAAAAACATTGAAAAAAATATAAACTGTGTTTTAATAATTACCTTGAACCAGTGACAACCATGCAGGTCGAAACGACTTGAATTGGATACAAAACACTTGCGTAGACGAATTGAATGAATCCAGCGAAGTATGTGCGATTTCCTTGGTCGCTAATATAGTACTTGTTGACGAGATAACATGTTGTGCTGGTGAGTGCAATGCATGTCAAATCACAAATTAATTTCGGAATCAATCCGGAAAAGAAGCCGAACAATCCCTCTTGCCCGAATATTTCCTTTATTGATGACCAAATCGATCTGCAATTTTAAAAAGTTCAAATGTCTGTCACTCAACTTGGCTTTAACTAGGGCAAAAGAAAGTGGTCGTACTTGTAAATAGTTTCACGCCCAACGAATTGTGCCATCATTCGAATCGAAATGACTTGAAACGGGTGTGTAATGATGATGCCCGATGCATGCAATATCAAATCGCGTTTCAGACTCTTCAGGAATCGTTCATAGCTGCAAATGAGAATGATTTTAAAATTTCCCATAAAACATGAGCAAAAAATTCATCTGGACAAAAGAAACTGGCATGCATTTTTTTTTACCTTTCTTCTTCGGTGAGTTCCGAATCATCTTTGCTTTCATTGTCATCGTTATCGTCGAGGCCAAATTTTTCTGCTACTCTCTTGCTGCCAATTACACCAATCACTGAACCGACCAATTTTGGTGTCAAACCGCGATAACATCCTGCCAAACCGTCGACCTTCTTAATATGTTTCACTGTGTCACACAGAAAAAAGAAGAAGCATTTAGTCATCACGTTATCACCGAAAAATCGAGAATTTATCATCGTTTCAAATTACCGTATTGAAAGATGTTTGGCAAGATCATCGCCGGTCGTCCAAGAAATGTTTTGCCAGGTTGTGGCGCGATGGGTTCATAACCAATCTGGAATGGGCAAATAGTTTTTCGACCAAGGCCACACAAATTGACATGTTTATTTTTTTTTCTTTTCTCAATGTACCTGTATCAACACTTTGGCATATTCAAAAGGATGTAAAGCAGCACTGACACCCATTCGCATGCCAAATTTTATCAAGCGATTGGCTTGAGTGTCTTCATTGTGTTGCAGTGTTGAATCCATTGTTCAGTATTATTTGCAGCCGAATCAGGAAAATCAAAATAAAAGTCTCACACGGTGTTGAACGAAAAGGTCGGTTCACAAAACTTCAGTACGCGTCGAATTGATTTTTTTCTCTCTCGTGTTGCATGTAGAGAGACGAATACGATGTCCAAAGCACTGTGTTATGAATCCATCCGTATGTGTTTGACAGTCGTACAGTGGACGTGTGTATGCGTGTGAGTGTGAATGAACGAACACACACACACTAACGTGTATACGAAACAAGTGACAGATGCCAATGGTCATAGAAATACGTAAGCTGCGAGTGCTGTCATTCCGTCAACTGTTTCAGTGATATTGCATTGGTATTTAATGAAAAGAAGAAAAAAAAAACTCCAACAAAATACTTGAATATTTGGCCCATTCGATAGGCGGACGATTCTATCTTTACGACACATTTGATACCCACATTTGATAGAATTTTGGATGTAGTGCAGTTTTACGATTTTGTTACGGCCACAAAAATGCATCGGAACCAGTGAATTATTTCGTGTTCGTTTTGCACGTTGTTTTTATTTCATTTCATTTGTTTGTTGAATCTTGTGTGTTTCTTGTCACGGTGCAAACAACGAATCTACATCCAATCACACACAGTGTGTACACAACACAGTCGAGTGCTTCCAAGTGTTTGAAAAATCGCCTGAAAATCACGAAACACCTCACGAAATTCAACAAGAAGAAAAATGATTCACCTAACATCGCAAACGCTAACCGCAAAGGAAATCATACAGAATGTATTCTCACCGTTGATCGGAGTCCTTTGTAGCCCGCAGGCCGATGAACTGTGCTATAAAAACAATCTCTCGTTCGTTGAATTGCTGCAACCATTTAGCAAACTTACGAATGATGGTGAGTATTCGGTGAATTTTGCACTAGTTGCCAATTGTGGAAGGTTTTCTAATTGGATTTGGTTTTCTTGTTTCGAAACAGCTTACATTCGTGATGCGACGGGAGCATCGACATCGGTCAAGGGTATTCGACTCAATTTCTGTGATGTTAATTGGCGGCCACCACAAACGATGGTCTCTCGCAAAATGCTCACCGATACGGTGACATCGGCGCAATCGACTAAAACCAAACCTATTCAAATTGACGGTGAATTCATGCACATCTTTTATGGCGCAGCCAACTTCAATTTCCAGTATATTAACCTTCACGGTTTTTTTTTCGATTTGCAGATCAAACCTTCATCGACATTCCCACTTCGGAGCCATGGTTCGAACAATGGCGCGAAATCTTCTTATCCATTCAATCACAATCAGACCACGAATTTACTAGACATTTTTTAAGCTGTCTCATCGTTTTATCCACCAGTGATCCCAATTCTCTTGAAACAGCCCATTTGCTAACGCGTAAAGTGCAAGTTATGCAAAATACAACGCCTCCAAAAGTGCCGAAATGGTTTACACCCGATGCATTAAACTGTTATGTTCTGTTGCATGATCCAAGTCAGGGCAATGTCACCAGGTGAATATGATTTGTGCGTTGATTTTGCGAGTGCCATCATTAATATTCGATGTTTTATTCTGAAATTTGTAGTGCCCAACAAGCGTTTGAATCACTGAAATTGACTTTTGGCGACAACAAATGCTTTTTAGTACAAATCAATTCGCAACAAACGCCTTCAACCAATGATATCATCGATCCGTGGCTCAAATTTTTACGACGGCAACCCAAAATGGTAAGTTTTGATGTTCGTTCAAACAAACATTTCCGGAGGAGATTTCAATTTTTTCTTAAAATAAAGTCGTTTGTTGACTTTTGTGACAATATTTCAATTGAATTTATTAAAGGATGAAACATCTGAATCGGGAAGTGCACCAAAAACGCCACAGGATGTAACCAGCCTATCATCAATGCCATTGACTGTACAAATATCAACACTAGAAACTCCACCATCCGGTATAATTACCGAAGAAACGGTTGATCATCCGCTCAGTCCGTCACAGGAACAAGTGTCTGATACGATTGTAAGCGGTTTATCTTTTGAGAGTTTGATTCAATTCCATGAATATTCTTTTCTATACATTTATTGTTCGTTCTTTTATCGTTGCAGCATTCGAAATTCTCATCTAGTCTCGACAGTTTATCATCGCAAACACAGATTGTGAATCCGAATGTGTGGGAATCGGTTGCTGATATGAAACGTGGAATTTACTTGACTGTCACTGATATCGACAATCTAAAGCATTTAGTACAGGATTTTAGTATACGTGCACTGATTCCGTTCATAGAACGACAAATTATTCTACTTAACGATACAGTTTCGAACAAAAAAAGTGTAAGTCGTTCGCTGTTGAGTGCGACCAAACGGTTCTTTGCCACAAAACCAGGTGCTAGTTCGGCTAGTGAGAATGTGGTGGTGTATTCAAGCGAATCATCGCTTGAGCTACAAACCAGAAAACTCGGTGATCTACTCTTTTTGTTCGGCAACTATTCGCAAGCCTTTCAGCATTATCATCAAGTGAAACGTGATTTTCAAGTCGATTCAGCGTGGCAATACTATGCTAGTGCATTGGAAATGGCTGGCCTATCGGCATTTTTATCAAACACAACAAACGCATCGAATCAAAAGGCATTTAGCTATCTAGAAGAGGCGATTTTAGTTTATTTAAATCAATGCAAGTAAGTAAGCGTTGGATATTTGCCAAGATAATGAAATCGATGACGATTGATTTTAATTCCATTTGTTTTCTCATTATGTTTCCCCTTCTTTTGCTTCACATTTTCTTCCGTGCAGACTGCAAAATCTCGCTATACGATGTACTCTATTGAGTGTTGAATTATTAAAATCGTCGCAGCTATACACAGAAGGTGCCCGTCAATTCATTCGAATGACTAGTACGGATGCGGATTTGATGTCGGGTCTTTTGCTCGAGCAATCTGCTTATTTATTTTTAAAGGCAAATCCACGCCAATTCAGGAAATATGCATTTCATGTGGTTCTAGCTGGTCATCGGTGAGTATCTTAGCACGTTTCACAGCCATCAAGTATCGTAATAGTTTCGATGAATCGCAAATACTAACAAAAAAATAATCAATAGATACTCGAAGTCTGGCCAGCGAAAGCATTCGTTCCGTTGTTATCGTCAGGCGAATCAAATATTTCAAAATCGTGGATGGGATTTGGCGGAGAGTCATATCTTCTACACGCTTAGTAAACAAGCAATAACACTGAAAAAAGTAGATGAAGCAGTTACGGCTTTGGCGCATCTTTTGCGACCATCAAGCCTACAAAGTGCAGCTCAACAAGCTTCGTTCCTTAGCGAATACATTGCCACGCAGAAAATGTTCTTGAAACAATCAAACACCGATACATTGCTTGACATTGGCTTGCCCAAAGTGGTGAAGACTTCGGTTCGTGTACTAATTTCATGTCCATCACCAATCACCGTTCCTAATTTGGTTGCCGCTTCCAATATTAATATCAATGTAAGAGCATAGACTTTTCCTCCATGATTACCAAAAAAAATTCATTGAAAAAAAATTTCTATTGAATCCAGATGAATCAGAGTGAGGCTGCTGATGAATGGAAATGGAATAAACTGGAATGGATTGCCGCTCAATCTGCATCGAGCAAACCGATTATGATTTTCAAGCCGAATCGATCATTATTTACATATCAATTGCCGACCAGTGATAGTCCGCTAAGCATAAAAGGAGGTATTTTAGCATTCAACTGAGTTCAATTCAATTGACATTTTTATCGAAATATCCGGTTGCTTACATATGCCACGTTCTTTTTTCTCTCAAACAGAACCAATAGAAATCAGTTTCGCATTAGAAAACACCATTAAACCGCCGATCACATTTGACGATATCAATTTGCTATGGACATTTACAAATCAAAATGGCGAAGTATTTACGAATCGAAATATTTTCAAAAACGACGTTGACACCGAAGATCGAAGCAGCATTTATAACATTGTAGCGTCCACATTCATCAAACAGATTAAATTGAATGAACACGAGAAAAAAGTGGTTGTAATGAAATTGACGCCACATCATATCGGAAATTTGGATATACAAGCAGTAGTTGGAAAATTGGTGAGAATATGCGATAAACAAAATGAGTGGAATAATTTCTAAATTCGAGTAATTTCCATTAGGCCACAAAGGAGACATCCAGTCTATGGGGAAAAATTGATTTTGAGGCACCTGTAATTAAACCAGATGGACCATCGGCAGCTGATAAACCACCTCAATATGATAAGAAATTAAATTTAGCAATTTTACCACCAGCACCCGCTCTTCATGTCAGCTTTACACAAATAGCGACCGAAGTGTTGGCTGGCGAAATTATACCGATCACCGTTTATTTGACCAACGCTGGTGCCGAGTCATTGAACGACATTTGGGTAGTGGCCGATGAACCGAGATGGATTTTAGGCGAATTAAATAGTCAAGAGTTACCATTATCACTTCTTAGAGGTAAATTTGAATAAGAATGTGATTGCTCTGCTTAACATTTTGGTCTAAACAATTTTTTTCGTTCGAATCTTCTGATTCTTCGAAAATTAAACCGCCGATCAATATTTTTTGTCATTTAGATTTTAGAGATCTAACCAATGAAGCGTTAAGTCGCGATAGGGAGGCATGTAAACAACATGCATTTAAATTATTCTCAGCAACTGGCGGCACTTTGCAGCCGAAGGAAGGTAAAACCGTTACGATTTGGCTTCAGGCACCGTTCAAAAAGGGTCAAACAACGCTTAAACTTCTTTTCTACTACGGCACTCCTGAGCATTACCCAAAACTTAGGTGAAAATTTTAATTTTTTTTACAAACAATTCTTTGCAATTTCTCTCTATTGTCCTTTTTGGCATTTTCTTTCAATTTTACTCATCAAACGTTTTGAATTACAGGTATCGATTGGTTCGCCACACCTGGAATTTGAATGTGAATGAGTCATTGAACGTGGACGCAACGTGTACGCTGAACAACGTCACATCAGATGAGCTTGGAATTGATTTTTACGTTAGAAACCAAAATCAAGTCCATCACGCTCTCGTTACGGAGATTGTTTTGAGCGATATCAAACTCTTTTGTCCAGTTTACAAACTCATTCCTGACAATATAAAATGTAACTTTTTAAAATTTCCCTCTAAATCAATTTTTTCCACAAATTGTATAACGTTAAAAAATATTGCAGATCTTCAGAGTCCTGGTTACAGTCGTCTCATCAATGAAAACAAAGGATTGCGACTCAATGAATCGATTGGTTTTCGATGTTTGCTCGAAAAGAACGAGAAACGATTGATGCCAGCGACGACACCATCAGATTTTATACGTAATCGCTTGTCAAGTCTTGTCATCAAACCAATAGCTAATGTTGATCGTGATATTCCTAGTGCATCAAATTTGGGCAGCTTCCTCATGAAAAATGAAACAAAATTCATAGGCGTTTTGAAGCAAGTGAATAACAGCGAAGAGTTTAATCAAATCGTATCGATGGCCGATCCACACATGACGATCGCTATCACATGGAGTGCAACGGTGAGCGATAATAATTCGGCTCAACGAGACACATTTGGTCAGCATTTCGTTCAATTGAGAAATATTTATGAGACAATGAGCTGTCCACCAGCCGCACCCGGATTGCAACCGTTCAATGAACACGACGAAAAGATTCGAATATATAGCGTTGAACAAAATTTGCCATCGTCAAAATCAACAACTGGACAAGAATACATTCCATGGGGTCCACGCGACGTGTAAGTTATCCACACAAAAAATATATTCCTTTCGTTATTTTTAGTCATTGGCATATTAAAATTCATCTTTTCTTGATTGATCTTCTGCAGAAATGTGCTAAGCCGATGCTTTTTAGAAGTCGAAGAAGAGCCTTCAGCTGGTGTGGCCGGCACCAGTGCCGTTAATTAATTTTAAGTCAAAAACAGAAAAAAACGAAATAGTAAACAAATTTCACTCTTCGAATGATCGACAGCCGAAAAGCATTTTGTATGGGAAGTACCGTTCTTGTTTGGTGTAAATAAAAACAAATTGATTAAATTTAAAACACATGTATTTCCCATTAAGATGATAAACGATGCAAAAACGGCACGAGTATCGGGTGTTTTTATTATTTTCAGAATATATACACACCTATAGCAGGGTTGACTTATCGAGAGCGCCACTGATTAAATCCTGAAAAATAACGTTTGACAACCTTTTATATTGTTATTCCATTGATGAGAGTATGTGAATGAGACTTTGATTGATCCCTCAATCAAGTGTCAAGTTGGTGCTGTCAACATTGGATGATATATCTTTATGACAAGTTTTGAAAATAGTTTAGTCGTATCACTTTGCATCATAAATAATCCGTGTATCGATATCACCTGTTCTATACACACGCAATCCAGATTAAATCTCTGATTTCGGGGAATGGAATGAAATGCGAATTGATTTTTGTTGGAATTGTGTGAATTGTAGCGTTTATTGTTGATTCTTCAAGTGGCCTTATTTAAAATTACCAATCAATTGAGATGATTGACTTGATGCATGCCGATGAAACATTGTAAGTTCTGACTGAGAGAGATAGAGAGAGAGAGAGACACAATGCAACGAATTTGTCGGAAGTTCGATGATTTGCTTGACGAATGCGCGGCGCGCACTCTCATACATTCAGAGAGTGCACGAGTACCGTTGCAATATTCGCGATAAAAGCCATTCCTTTGGTTCGTACGCTCATTTATACATTCTAACAAAATCAGCACCGATACCAGGCCTTAATGCAAAATAAAGGCAATCAAGCTGGAAAAAAAGCAAAACAAACCACGATACATATATATATATATATTTATATGGATTTGCGGCGCGTTCTGTGACTCTGTGTGCTATAACTAAGTAAACCAGTTTCTAGCGATGTGCTTGTTAATGATCACGATGATAAGTTTTATTCCCTCGTTTTGCGTACTTAATTTCAATAATGTTCGCATGCAAAAGCACGCGCGTCCATGCATTTTCGATGGTTCGAGATGCGTTCGCAAGCACCGAACACCATGCGAGAGTTCATTGATGCTTCAGCATATAGCTAGTTATTTGCAGCGGGGTTTTTCGTCAGAACACACGGTGAACAAAAATTTGCCGGCTTCTCTATATATCAATGCGTCTCATTTATTTTTATTACTTTTTTGGCGAAGGCATTGAACCTAGTCGACAGCTTGCATTGATTTTAAAAGTGGTTTTTAGATGTGATACAAAATAATAACGATAGAGCAACTAATCGAAGCGAGAAAAGTTCAGTTCAGAAGGAAAAGTTCGTTGACAAAATTTCTATACCAAAGCACAGCTAAACTCGAGCACATCAGTGCCATTCAAATTGGTTGATAATGCACCTGTATCGAATGTGGTTTTCTATAATTGTTCTGAATATTTTTATCCATGCCAATGTGATGAGTGTTGTTGATATCGACGAAAACCTTGTCCATAAAATATGCAATATGAAATTTTGCGATGCAACTAGAACCAATGTGAGTGTTACAATATCAATTTTATTCGACATTCATTCTCACATGCATATAGTTCCAGACAAAGCAAAAAAACAAAACACATCTGAGTTTCTTGATTTTTTTTTTGTGCAGTGCGATCTGGAATACTGTGTGGAACAAATGATCAGTGAGAGTAAATTCGGAGATTGTCCAAAGTATGCAAACAGTACGGACGCAAGAATGAGTTGTTTTGATGACTGTGATGGCCAAGATTATAGGTGATTTATGATTGCAACTGATTTTTTTTTTTTTTTGACAAATTCTGAAGAAAATTTCTTTGTCACAGTTTTTGTGTGTGTTTCAAAATAAAATATTACGTTTTAGGTGCACGGCCGCATTGAAGTGTTGTTGGCTAAACAATTGCAATAGGTCATGCATAATGCCAGACAATTTAAATCGCATTTCAACATTTACATTGCCACCCATTCCGACCGATGTGAGTGTACTGAGTATGGAGCACGAAACAAGGCGCAAAGCAAAAATCTCCTGGCTCATGCGAATACCACATAATCGGTGTGAAGAACAAATTGATTATGTTATTGAAGCACGTGCGCACGTTGGTTACTCGTTTTCTAAACACAAACTGGGTCAGTGGTTTGCAATTAACACAGAGAATGTCCATCTCGAATCAATGCACTCACACAATACCAAGTGCGTATTGGAAATGTCAAAATCATAGCTATGCTAAATATATTGTGGAAATTATTTTCTTCCCACTTTGTTGTGTTCTCTCTTTCTCTGCACACGCAATGTAGAATTTCCGGTTTGGTCACGCTACAGATTGGAAGATTTTATGAATTTCGCATTCTAGCACTGAATGGTAACGGCACTAGAGGATGTTCGGATTCAACGTTATTTCAACTGAATGAAAGCAAGTTTACTTTTTTTCAATGATTTTTTTTTAGAATAGAAATAATCTATTGCAAAGTAAATAATAAAATAATTGTATTTTGGATCAGCAGAACCAAAACACATATCACCACCTGCCAATTTAACGATTGACTCAACACCTAAATTAATGGCTAATAGCAGCGTGTACACAAGGTCAGTAAATTAATAAACGTTGAAACGGTGGAAATGAACCGATTAGAATTACTTTTGTTCTTTTAGGCTGAAGTGGCAGGAGCCAACCTCAGAATATCCAATTGAAAAATGTGAGAAAATAATTTGTCTCTTTTCAATCGTCGTAATAACAGCTGCATCTTTTCGTAATACGAACAGCTAATTGTTGATCCATTAATAACGAAAATCTACTTTTTCAGATGAACTTTCCTATTCGCTGTATATAAATGAAGGCAACGGTAGTCTGGTTATGGAAAAGATGCGTTTACCGGTTGTAAGAATTTACCATTAACATTAGAATATTCAGACATTCCCATATGAATTTTATTTGAATGAAACACATTTTTATTCAATTCTTTTCATTTTTAAAATAGACACAAAATTTCTACGAATTGTTCGATCTCCTGCCGAATTCCGTATATTATATCCAGTTGGGTACGATCTCTTCATTTGGTAAAAAGCGTTTAAAATCGGAAAAGGTGTCAATATTTGTAAACACAGCCATCGGTCGTACTTGATCGGCTTACAAATTGGTTGAGTGCTGTTTTTTTTCTCGATTTTTTGCCGAACATTCTTAAAACAGTAACATGATATGAACACACTTATCTGTTGTCAATAGAGATATCTTGTGGTCTATTATGTGGAAGAGGAAATCAAATGCTACTTTTTCTATTATGCCTTTCTTCATCATACAACGAAAACAAATACAATTTGTTTGGAAAAAAAAGTATTCGATACGATTACGTACTGTTAATGATATACTACTACAAATCGTGTGGCTCAATAAATGGGCTTATATGTGATATTTTATAAATAATAAATGGGAATGAATATGACCCGAGTTTAACTGTAGCCTTGCTAATCAATTTTCTATTTGCGTCGAGTATTTGCGATGTAGTTGATATAAGTTGCTTCACCCCTTCTTTATGACTTCAACAATAATTTGTTGTAGCAGATACTTAAGCAGGACAATCCAAATCGTCAATGGTACCATTTTTAAAACAAACAACATTTTTTTAATCATTAATTCAGTTTTTTTTTCTTCTAAAAATGGGAAAGGTAATATTAATATATACCATGATGATCATCAATTCAGTTTTTTTTTCTTCTAAAAATGGGAAAGGTAATATTAATATATACCATGATGATTCAATATACAATTGGGTTATGGTCTGTGTCATCTCTTATAAAATCAGATTAATTTTATTTTGTCATCAAATAATTGAAATTATTGTAGTTATTTAGTAAATAAAATTCTAACTCTTTTCTCCTGTCTAAAAATTAGATTGCCTAATCATTAATAGCAATTGTATTGCAGCACTGTTAATTGGACGGACTTAAAAATATAAAAGAAATTTGGATTGGCTTTGTTTCAGTTGCCAGATGGATTTATAAATATTCTTATCTTATTTGAGCAGCATGACTCAGCATTTGGTGGCTATTTATTGGCCCATTTAGGCCGCTAATTTGTGTAATATCATCGCAATCAAAGGTAAAATTATGGAAGCTAGTATGCTTGATGCACCCGAATCAGTGCAATAGTATTCATCGCAATTGGCTTGTGTGAATTTTTTGTAGCGTTCTTTGACATCGGCCAAATTACACAAGCCCACTTTGCACCAGTCAAGATCAGTTATGGGTTTTTCATTCAGGAAGAACATGACCTTATCGCGTTCCATATCATTTGGACAGTCATATTTGATGGCAACTAGATTCGATGCAAATGGTAAAATGTAGCTCGAGCGCCACTTCCGCTGTGACATACTGTAGTAGTTGTCGGCACGAAGCGAATCGGAATCTTTAAAGAATCGAAGTGCGGTCAAAAGTAAGACTATAGCTTTTGAGTGTGTGAAATATGCAACGGTTTTTGGTAGATTGTTCGTTTCAAGATGATGAAGCATATCATTTACAGCTGCACATTGAATGCGTGAATTCAATTCACGTCCGTAACTGCTTTTGTAGTATTTCTGAAGATCTTCCAGATATTCCAGGTCATCGATTTGTGTTGGAGTGAATGCTGCACACCATGCGCTCGGACTCCCGATATTCCATGCTTGATCGAATCGGCACATTTCAAACATATCCATTACTTGCTGCAATTTCAATGGATACTTGTAGCCAAGACGGGATGACACATCGCTCACCAGCTGTGTCATAGTTTGCGATTTTACGAATTTCTTGTATTCAGTTCCGTCTCCTTTGGATTTTGACATATCGTGCGGTGCACAATAGTCATAGGGCTAATTTTAAGCGAGCAATTAAAAAAAAGCAAATAATTTAATTACAACGATAGAAAATATTTTTAAAAAAATTCAATCATGATTTTAATTAATCATCCTTACTCTGAGCAATGTGTCATTAGTTGGTGGCGGCTGTACTTGAATATGTTCATGGGCATTTGGACCAAAGAGACCTAAAATATAAAAGTAAAAAGGGAAATGTTATTCATAATCTACCAAACAAGCTGGGAATAAAAACAAATTCGGTGTTTGAAAAAAAAAATGAGAAAATTTTGATTTTCCATCAAAGCTCATTTACCTTCAACGAACGCTTTATAACTGGCTTCTGTCCGTTGAGTGTTTGTATAACGGAATAAAAATTTGTTTTTATCATAAATATTTTCCAAAATATTCGGAAACACTCTTTGATATCGGATGGCCATAAATTTAAGCTCCTCCCAGCCTGTAATAGAAACAAGAACATTTGAATTGAAGAAAAAATCAACAAATTGCGGATCGAAGATACAGAATGCGTTTCTACCATCACAAATCAGACAAACGTAAAGTAATCAATAAATATGCAAATACCTTGAACTGTAAGGAATGCTGCGTATTGAGCAGTGATGTTTCTGGAATGGAAATAAAAATTGATTATTTATATTGAACAAATTGCGATGTTCTATGAATTAAAATTCAAAGTAAAAAAAAACATACTGATTCCAATGCCACCGTTTCAAAAGATCTAAGTCATTTTCACACATGGCACCGATGGCTGGCTTCGAATGTCGTTTTTCATAGTTTGCAATGATTTCATCTCTCAAATCTTCCAGTTGGCTCAAACTCTGCATTCTTTCTCCTATTAATGAAACCAATTCAAACAAAGAGTGAATTAAAAAGTTATCAGAATTTAAAAAATTGATTGCTTTTTGTAGAAAGTAAATTCTGATGAAATGAGGTGCGCAAACCTTCTGGCAAACGAGTGCCATGTCTGGCGAAGATCCAGATTTTGGTTGGATTGCAATCTGAAATGTGGAAAAATTGAGCACAAAATCAGTATTATCGGTATAAAAATAGTAATCAAAAGAATTCGTTGATTAAACTTTGCAGAGAAATTTAATGGAAAAACCACAGAACTTACTAGGAACAAGGTATTGTCTGCCAGTTTCGGGTCCTTTGACGATTAAATAGGAAGTTTTCGATGCAAAATGAGCTGATTGTGGTCGTTCGTTGTCCAAATCATAGCAGTATTCTTGGCAGCATTCACCGCTTCGCTGGGCATTTATTGGCTTGGACGCAAGCAATGCACAAATGAAAAGAATTAAATCGATTGACTTGCAGCGAACTACCATATTGACGATATTCACTTCTCCTATCTCCTAAGGCTGTAAAACAGAGCAATAGATGATTTGAATTACTCGAAATACTCCCGCAAAATGCTTAATCAACTGCGACAAAGTATGCTTTAAATATCAGAGTCAAGTGACTAGCGTGTTTGTTCTTCTCGTGTTTTGTCTCAGCCGCTAAACACACATACATACGCGCGCGGAGTCACGTTTTCAGAAGAATGTACGATAACAGCGATACGAAAGGGGAAAAAAATGTCAAAAAATACTTGAATTCAATTTTTTTTTTCAAAGCATTGAAATTGGATCTTCATTCTTCTTTATTGTTGATCCAATAGCACAGACACTTATGATCGCTTTATCAAATCGTTGATTTTTACGATTGATGCCATTTATGGCACGTATAGCTGCACAGTTAATAATATATTATTATTTATACTATCGGTATTAACATCGCATGTTAATAATATATTAGTATGATAATAACGGTATTAACTGGTATTAACTAGTAAGTAATAGCGATATAACAGGCGATGTTAATAACGTATCAGTTGTTAATACTGATAGTATGATCATACTATATTATTATGATTTTTATTATCAATACTGTGACGTCACTAAATTCCACGATTTTTCGCGTTTTCCGCGAAACTGATAAGAGATAGCGGTTTAGTGTCTTTGGCAATGTTGTAGTACTCTTCGCCTTCTATAACTTTGCCTCAGATTGTTATCACTTATCTCTTATCAGTTGGGCACAAATCGAAACACAGCGCTATGACACTTTTCTTTTTCTTATCATTCCGGTAAACTGATAAGAGATAAGTGATAACAATCCGTGGCAAAGTTGTAGAGGGCAACGAGTACTACAACATTGCCGAAGACATCGAACCGCTATCTCTTATCAGTATTGCGAAATTAGCCTTCCAGTTATCATATTATTAACAGCGATGTTAATAATTATTAACATGGATGTTAATAAAATATTATCATGAAAATCATAATAATATAGTACGATCATACTATCGGTATTAACATCGCATGTTAATAATATATTAGTATGATAATACCGGTATTAAGTGTTATTAACTAGTAAGTAATAGCGATATTAACAGGCGATGTTAATAACGTATCAGTTGTTAATACTGCCTAATTAATAATATAGTATTAATAATAATTAATAATATATTATTAGCTGTGCAGCTATAATGGCACGTGCTTAATTAGTGGTTCTTCTTAAAGGCTGGATTTTAAAAACAATTTTTCGTTGTCTGGCGAACGAGCTGTTATCAGTTTTTGCAAGCTACCGATTATGGGAGACCGGTTCTTTTATCTATTGATCTAGTTAATCAGCACATTATATTGCGCGCATACATAGTACCAAAAATAACCGTGATATCCATGTGATTTCGCTTTCTTTTTCTTCGGCCATAAATCTATGGAGGTAATTCACGTGAACACACATGTGATTTTATGAGTACTAGGCTTTTTTCACTTCATATCATCCATGTATGCGTATAGACTTGTGCGCGCTCGGTTTGTTTTCTTTTTCCTATCATTTATTAGTAAATGAATAATAAAAACCACACTTGAGAGTACTTATTTCGTTGCATTCCACAATGTGGCGACGGGGTGAAAGAATTGCATTGTTGACCTTTTTTAATTGAAACAAATTTTGCCACACGGACCCATCATTTTAATCGGTGTTGATGATGCAACCGATATATTATATGCTTGAAACTGGAGAAATTCTCTCTAATTAAGATGTTCATTAGGATCAGTGGAAGATAAAAGAATGACATTGTAAGATACGGATCACATTATTCACACTATTCACCAATTGTTTGATAGAGCCATTTCAATGTTAGCTCGTGCCACATGCAATCGAATGATGATAATACCACCTCATCGCTGCTGTCGCCGCCAACGTGGCCGCCACACATAATCTAATGAAATCATTCTTGTCATTGCCTGATTTATTATCACTGAAAACCCGCGGCGAATTACTAATTATTACCTTATTAGGCTCAATTAATTAAGACTTACAATGTGCCTGAGTCTGATGCTTCAATAATTTTTCCTTGTTACTTTTGGTCGTTTCCTTCTCGACAATTTTAATTGATGCTGTTTGGAATCAACAATTTGGATGTCACCCACCGATAAACCGGCAAGTACTTTCGACTCTGTGTTGTTATTTTTGTGGTTGATTGTTTTTTTGTTTTTAATTTCTCGTTACGAAAATAAAATACGCACACACTTAACAGATAACAAAATCGGGTAATTTTTTGGACAGAACTACAGCAAAAAAATGAACTAGCTATCAGTTAATCATTCAAATGAAGTGTGTATTCAAGAGCAAAATTCAAAGAAAGGAAATATGGAAATGCAAAAACCGTTCAAATAAAAATTCCGTTAATTAGGTTGTGTGCGCAGACACAGGAAAAGGCTTGTTCGTTTAACAAGAAGAAGCACTTTGCTTTAACAACTGCACATTCACTACCTGCTTGGATATGTGCGCATGCTTTGTGCCACACACTGTCCGTTGTCTCTTCTCCACTGTACACGAGATTTTTGTTTATGTTTGGGGTGGTGAGTCGATTTCGTTCGATTGCCACCGAACCATACACATATATTCATTTCGATCGGTGTGCTGCTGCTGCTGCTGTTGCTATTTTTTAAGGTTTGGCTTCATTCAAATGTGGATATTCTATAACATTTGCCAGACTAGATACGTATATAAAAAAAATTGAATAACGAAAGGGAAAAAATAACAGATAGCGACCGCTCATAACAACGGTCGGGAAACCGAATTGGAAATAAATCGAAGAAACACAAAATTGTAGCAAAATAGTGTTAGCAGTCCGTGTTCACGGCTACCAAATCCATTTAACCAGCATACAATGGTGTGGTTATGATGCGTAACTTTGAAAATGATTACATAAAATTAATGAAATTATCCATATTAGTTGAACCGACACAACGATAGCAATTCAACGAGAAAACAACAACAACAACAACAACGCCAATAATGCCACCTATTCCACCAGCTGAAACGGATTGAACTCACCGGGAGAGTGAAAAAAATAAGTCATACAGACACAAATGGATTCTTTTTGCAAAGAATACCAAGTGATCTAGTAGAATCCATTGAACTTGTATAACATAGTCTTTGGGTCGCTTTGACTAAAACAATTTACCACCATCGAATGCTATATTCTACGTTGTTCTTTTTTTATTCATTTTCATTCTGTTTCTTTCGATTTTATGCGCAATTATTCGCACTAAAATATCGTGGATTGTGATTTTGTCTCTGTCTCTGTCTCATTCGTTCCTTCCTGCTCTCTTCCACTCGAAATGCCAATAATGAAAGAAAATTAAAGTGGAATGAGAATGTGGGAGACACAGAAGAAGAAGCAGAATAAAAAGCACAAATACACGGCAGAAAATTGGGAATGGAGAAGAAAAAAAGAACGAATTTTCTCATAGAATCAGGCACATTCAATATACACAGCGCTTCTCTTTGTTCTGATCGCGCGTAAATGTGGCTAAAAATATACACGAAAGATTTTGTTTTGATTGTATGAGGTCAGTAAAATTGTAAAATGCTAAGATTCATGATCGATTCGAGCGAGTCATGAACAAAATGAAACGGTTGGAAAGATTGAAAGAAACAAAAACAATAAACAAAGATTCAAATGAGTTTAGCATGTTCAGCTATCATTTGGGCACAATACACAGAAAAAACAGCACATTCATAGCCGTAGAGAAGCGAAACAAAAAAAAAACGAACAAATTACACTCTTTTTTCCACTTGTGTGTCGCGCTCTATCGCCACAAACATCTATTTTGTATAGATTATTACGCGCTATGAATAGACGAGAGTGAGTGAAATTTTTTTTTAGTACGCTACTTTTTTCTCTCCTCTCTTATTTAAATCACCTGATCCATGATACTAATTATGTTTTGGTCAACAAGTGTCAATATTTAGTGAAATCTAAATGCATGTTTACATTGGACATTTTTCGATTTTATTTTTTTTATCAACTATGGTATTTGTTTGTTATTGTTTTTTTTTCATCATCGTCGTCGTCGTCGTCATCATCAACAACATAAACTCATCTAGGTGATGACAATCAACAATAGGAAGGCGTTTTCTCTGCCACTTAATTTGTTTGAAACGTTGTTCGTATATGGCGCTAAAAATCTTCAAGTATGACATGACTAATTCAATTTGTTAGCAAAAAAAATTTCGTACAATTTCGTGGAATCGAACGACGTTGATACGCTTAGCTACGGAAAGCAAACAGAAAGACTGCTGGCTAAGTATTTTAACAGCGATTCTGGATAATTGGCGAATAATTCAATGGAATGGATTTCTTTTTGATTCGCCAGAAAATATCGCTCGATGCATGTGCATTCATTTCATGTGTGCTCACCCATAATGAAAACAAAAGTCTTGAGCCGTTTTTTTTTTGTTTCTCTTTTCTTTCCGACTTTTTCTTCTTCATTTCTCTTCTGTTGGTTACGTATGGGCGACTGGTTTGCAAGAATACTGACTGCATTATTGGTAATAAACTCGGCATGGTATTGAGATACGAAAAAAAACACAAAACCAAATGATACCGAATGAACATTGCGATTTGGTCCAATTGAGTTTATCAATATAGTGCACTCATCTTCCATTTCCAGCATGCAATTTTTTTTTTCTCTATTCATATCTCATTTCCTCAGTGCACGATATAATTTCTGTGTGTAAACAATGTTACATTGTTTATGTTATGCGACTTTGTTATTGCAAGACGCTATACTTTCTTTATTCATATGGCGAAACATACCAAAATCAAAAAAATGTCGCTGAATTTTAACATCACCACACCTTCGCCACACATAGTATTACAACAGTAATAACGAAATGACATGGAGGGAAAGGTAGAGCGAAAATATGTCTAAGAAATGTGTACGTATTTGAATAATAAAATAATAGAATAACATTTACATGTGACCGTCGTGGCAGAGTTCAAAGGTGAATCAATAAATTCTAGGCAAAAAAGGATATTGAACACGAATCAAAACAATAAAACACATAACTTATAAAAACCAAACGAAAACTTATCGAAACAATTTGCATCGAAATGAAAATTTATACTGAAACAAAATTCGTATAAAAGTGGGATAGGAGAAGAAAATGTAAACAACGTCGTAGTTTCACGCAACTATGCCGACTACTCAACTGTTGTTGCCCAGCGCAGCGATCATGTTAGAGTTGTTAATGCTGGTGCTAGTTCCAAATTCATTTAAACAGAAAACTTCATCGCGGCTGAAAGAGAAACAACGTGTGCCCGTTGTTTGATTGAATGCAATAGCATGTAGATTTATGCGTTCCGTGACCAGTTCTTCTGAAGAAACTATGAAACACAACGATCATCATTGTCTCGTCTGTGAAAATTGACGTTTTCATCAACCCTATTAAAAAAAAACTCATTTCGCGCGCTGAATTAATACGGATTAATTATTGAATAATTTTGGAATGTATGACCTTTTATTGGGAGAGCGAGAATACCGTTTGATTGCATGATGCAATTGCATCGTGCGAAGAACGATGTTTGTTCAATACGTGAAAAGCGGATATTTCTTTTTCGTTTATCGCCACGATAAATAATAATTTTACTGTTGATTGATTCGTTGGTTATGATATTGGCAAAAAACACGAATAAATTACACTCAATTACAGAAAATCGAATTTTGTAGAACATTCCACATTCCAAACACATTCGATGTGTTACTGCTTAATGACAAACAAAGAAATGTTCTAGAAAACCAGAAAATTCCCGCCATGAATCAACAACGACGCATGAGAGAAAGCGATAACGATTTCTTTCTATCCACTGTGATCAATGTTTTCGAGAAAATTCATGCGGCTTCGCGTTCTGTTTTTTGTTTACTATAATGTAGTCGTTTTCGAAATTTCTGTTGGCAAGTGAAAATCGCCGAACGGAATTTTTTCAATGAAACATTCATGAAATTGCCATAATATGACATTTGAAAGGTATAGATGGATTTTTGGAATAAATTTTATTGTGATTATCATTTGAACGATGTTTTAAATGGAACTTATTATGAAATTTATTGAAAAAATTTATCATAGTCATGGTGTTGATGGGCTGGCGCCATCTGCCAGTTCGAACGCTAAGTAAGTGCCCGAAACTCTGACGTTCAACTGTTGGAACCGTCAACACAACGACGACATGTTTCTAGAACAATACCGCGGTAAAAGTCAAAATGAATCTCATTTTTACGCATATTTTCATAATTACGGTGATTTTGTTGAAAAATCAATTGAAAATCGTTTAAAATTAATATTAGTAAATTTTGTGGCTACACATTTTGCCGTGTTTCATACATAAAACGCTGTAAAACGTTTACAGAACATTCGACCGCAACCGGAAGGAACTGTCCGTTTTTCTAGATTCTTCTAGACGTTTCGAGACGAAAGTTCTATTTAGTATATATACACGGCCATTGTATGCGCTGTGTCAGATTGAACTGAATAAGCAAAGTGAACAGTTGTGCGAAAACACAGCAAACCAAACACAAGCGAATCATTTCTATTGAATAGAAAGAATAAACCAAGTGATTTTTTTTGTTGAAAAAAGTAAATTATAAAAGAACAATTACTCAAGGTGTGTATTAAATTTTTACTCATTTTATTTCGTAAATTAAAAATCGGTTTGTCATTTTTGCTGACAATTTCGACAAGTTGATTCATTTTTTACTTGTAAAATTGTGTCAATTTTGCCGGTTCAATGTGAGAATGTTCGGGAAGCATAGTGTAACGCGCAAAAAAAAAACGTGTTTCATGTAACCAAGTTGTTCGCACCATAAAACCATTGATTTTACCATTTAAAGTTGTTTGAACGTAATTGCATCAGATTTTGTAATCGTAAATTTCGATTTTAGCGAAAAATTCGATTTTTTTTTCCTTTGTCGTTGTCAGTTGCTATTGGTTGCATGAAGTGCGCGTCATAGAGAAGCCTTCGCGAATGTTCTCGTAATGGTGCAGACACACCGATTTTTCTTTTCACTTCACATTTTTCGGTTGTGAATTATTCATTATGATGATAAAACATAGAATTGTGCATTTCTGAATAAAAAATGTTGAAACCTCTATGCTGCCTTCCTACTGAAAATAATTCACAACGCATTTTTTCCGCTATTTCGGTTGAAAAAAAATTATACCGTCATTTATACCGAGTACTAACTGGATACATTTTTTTTCTCTCCTTTGGCCTCATTTACAGATGTCAGAACAAGTTGAAACCTTCGCTTTCCAAGCTGAAATTGCTCAGCTCATGTCATTGATCATCAACACCTTCTATTCGAACAAAGAAATTTTCCTTCGTGAATTGATCTCAAACGCATCTGATGTAAGTATTTCATTGGATTAGTCAACAGCCCAAATGCGTCCATTTTGTTTTTTTCACTTTCGATTTTCTTTGTCGTTCTTGCACGATTCATGAGCTAGTTAGTATGCAGAAAAAAACACGTGGACATAGCAATCAATGCACTTGCTCTGAATCGCATGCTAAGAACGATGATCCTTTTTTCCAAATTAATTTTCAATGTTTTTTTTTCGTTTCATTTATCGGGATATTTGTTTTTTTCCAAACATTTTGATGAAATTTTTCGAGATTTTTCAATTTTTTTCTGGTGTACTAATCATTTTTTTTCGATTGATTTTTGTGTTTCGATATAGGCTTTGGATAAAATCCGTTATGAATCACTCACCGATCCATCAAAGCTCGACAGCGGCAAGGAATTGTACATCAAAATCATTCCAAACAAAGCCGCTGGTACCCTCACCATCATCGATACTGGTATCGGTATGACTAAAGCCGATTTGGTTAACAACCTTGGTACTATCGCCAAATCCGGTACAAAGGCATTCATGGAAGCATTGCAAGCTGGTGCTGACATTAGCATGATTGGTCAATTCGGTGTTGGTTTCTACTCTGCCTACTTGGTTGCTGATAAAGTCACCGTTACATCGAAACACAACGATGATGAACAATACATTTGGGAATCATCAGCCGGTGGCTCATTCACCATCAAGTCTGACAACACCGAACCATTGGGTCGCGGTACCAAGATTGTTTTGCACATCAAGGAAGATCAAACCGAGTACTTGGAAGAAAGCAAAATCAAGCAAATCGTTACCAAGCACTCGCAATTCATTGGTTACCCAATCAAATTGTTGGTCGAAAAGGAACGCGACCAAGAAGTAAGCGACGACGAAGCTGAAGATGAAAAGAAGGAAGAAAAGAAGGAAGAGGAAGAGAAGAAAGAGGAGGGTGAAGAACCAAAGATTGAAGATGTCGAAGATGAAGAAGGTATGTACACAATACGGCTATTTTTAGATACGAATAAAAATGCAAAGTTTACTCAGTTCAAATTGAGCTATTTTCATATTCTGAAGTTTATCGAACTTTTTTGCTGTGGTTTTGCTTGAACAAATGACTAATCGATTGTTCTTTCGTTTCATTTTGCTTGAGCAGAAAAAGACAAGAAGAAGAAGAAGACCATCAAAGTGAAATACACCGAAGATGAAGAATTGAACAAGACCAAGCCAATTTGGACCCGTAACGCCGACGACATTTCACAAGAGGAATACGGTGAATTCTACAAATCGCTCACCAACGATTGGGAAGATCATTTGGCCGTCAAGCACTTCTCCGTTGAAGGTCAATTGGAATTCCGTGCATTGTTGTTCGTCCCACGTCGTGTACCATTCGATCTCTTCGAAAGCAAAAAGAAGAAGAACAACATCAAATTGTATGTGCGTCGTGTCTTCATCATGGACAACTGCGAAGATTTGATCCCAGACTACCTCAACTTCATCCGCGGTGTTGTTGACTCCGAAGATTTGCCATTGAACATTTCGCGTGAAATGTTGCAACAAAACAAGATCCTCAAGGTCATCCGCAAGAACATCGTCAAGAAGTGTTTGGAATTGTTTGAAGAATTGGCCGAAGACAAGGAAGGCTACAAGAAGTTCTACGATCAATTTAACAAGAACTTGAAATTGGGTGTGCACGAAGACAGCCAAAACCGCACCAAATTGGCCGAACTCATCCGTTTCCACACATCCGCATCCGGTGATGAATACTGTTCATTGGCCGATTACGTGAGCCGCATGAAGGAAAACCAAAAGCACATCTACTGCATCAGCGGTGAAAGCCGTGAACAAGTTGCCAACTCGGCCTTCGTTGAACGTCTCAAGAAACGTGGCTATGAAGTTGTCTACATGACTGAACCAATAGATGAATACGTTATTCAACAATTGAAGGAATTCCAAGGCAAACAATTGGTGTCGGTTACCAAGGAAGGTTTGGAATTGCCCGAAGACGAGGAGGAAAAGAAGAAGCGCGAAGATGATAAAGTCAAGTTCGAAAACTTGTGCAAGGTTATGAAATCCGTGTTGGACAACAAAGTCGAAAAGGTCGTCGTTTCACACCGTTTGGTCCAATCACCATGCTGTATCGTTACATCGCAATACGGTTGGTCCGCCAATATGGAACGTATCATGAAAGCTCAAGCCCTACGTGACACATCCACACTCGGTTACATGGCCGGCAAAAAGCATTTGGAAATCAATCCAGACCATCCAATCGTTGAAACATTGCGTCAAAAGGCTGAGGCCGACAAAAACGACAAATCTGTCAAGGATTTGGTCATCTTGTTGTTCGAAACCGCTTTGCTCTCATCTGGATTCTCATTGCAAGAACCACAAGTTCATGCATCACGCATTTATCGTATGATTAAATTGGGTCTTGGCATCGACGAAGACGAACCAATGGCCGCCGATGACATCCCAGCCGCTGGTGATGTGCCACCACTCGTTGATGACGCCGAAGATGCATCACACATGGAAGAAGTCGACTAAATTAATTGCAAAATTAATTACACTTAGCTCATAAAACGTCAGCTTCACAACATTCTGCATCCACTCTCAATTCATACAAAATTCTTTCTTTTCGTTCCTTACCAAAAAAAAAAACAAACAAAACAAACTTCATTTGCCGCGTTGTAGCGGTCTCAATCAGTGTTTGAATCCTGATTCAGACTGATGACCAAACACAAATGCTTCGTGAACGAACACCATTCTGAAGCAACCAATCATTTATTTTTACTAAACTAACTTCATTTTGTATGTCCCATTTTTTGTGTTCGAAGGTTTAATTTTATTTTCCGAGAAAGTAATCATAATTTCCCTTCTTCCATTGGTGAATTACAAAATGAATAACCGAACGTTAAAATAATGTAACCATCTAATGAAATAGAGTTAAATAAAAATTATCAAAAAGATAGAAAAAACTAAATAAAAAAAAAAACTTTGGAGTTTTCCTTTACTTGACTTTGAACATTTTTCAGGACTTTGCGCATTTTTTCAGGGTTTTTTCTTCAGCGGATCTATCTTAAGCGAATCATTTTCTCAGCAATTCTCATTTTTTAGTGAGCGATCTTTTTGAAAAATATGAAACTTGGGTTTAATCGGAAAACACGTGTGATACACCTGGCTGTTGTCAACTCGAAGCAAAGACACGTAAAATTAACGAATCACTTGCTCGGACTATACAAATTCATGAGAAGTTTTTTTTTTGTATTCGTCATTCATCACATGCGTCATCATTTGCATTATTATTTGGAATACGTTCACTTGAATTTACTGTCGATAATTTTTATAAATAGCCCACCGACTTCAATAGTGCAAACAGAAATGAAAAAAATGCAATCGTGTAAATGCTAAGTCTTCATAATGTCGTTAAATTCCTATCAAAATCGTTTGCTTTGATGAAACCATGAAAAAAAGTCGGTTTGCAAGTGAAACATTTCGAACACCAACACTTTGAATGGAATTCGTGACAGGTACTAGCATTTTTCGTACCAAAGATGGCGCTGATTATTCCAAAAGTTTGAAACATTTCAATTGTCAATCGAAGCTTGAAAGCGAACGGCATGACTAAGCTCACCGAACGAAATCGATTCGGAATAAAATGAAATATGGCAAATGTTGATAGTTTTCGTTCGATTTCGATACATAAATCAAAACCTGGAGGGAATGGACAGCATATTCAAAATAATCGCAATGAACAAAAAATACTCTGTATTCCACGTAGATTCCACATCGTTATTCTGTGATGAAAATGTTGGTTTTTCGGTTAACAAATACCTTGTCGCGACAAAGTTTCAAATTTCGACAACTGTTCTGCTGTGGTCGCAACGGACAACGCAGAAAAGAAGAAGAAGAAGAAGAAGAAGAGAAACAAAAAACACACACGGCAGCATGCCGTTTATACGTAATAATATTGAGCAGGTTATACACAATACCAATCAATATGAATACACCACAGTGTACAATTCACTTTATCCACTTCTGCACAAAGAACAAACGGCATATCGTACACCAAAAGCGAATATGAATTACACACTCCGACAAATAAACGTTTCTCTTCCACTCCATAACAGACACGCACACAGACACAAACACGAGCGCACATAGCCATAGTGTGTTGAACAAATACATGGACAAAACGGCTGTTGGAAACGTTGACATGCCATAGCATAGCCGTGTACATACCGTTGTCGCTGCTTGCTGCTGCTGCTGCTGCTGCTATTGTTTGTTGCAGGCCATATTCTCACTGTAGTCACATAGTACGAGAGAATATCGAAAGCATACATGTGCGAAGCGAGTTCATTGGCGCTTTATGTGTATTTGTTGTTGCCTTCTACCGCGGATATGTTGTTCGCTTCGATGGTGTGCTACACGACGGGCTGCTTGCTCTGCTACTGACTCAAAATAAAAATTCAAAAGAATCAGTTGATCGGCGTTGTTCATGCCGTTTGTTGTATTTTATTCCATACGGTTTTGTGTGCTACTGTGTCAAATGGTATTTTCTATAGCTAAACATTTCAAATAATTTAGTGGTCGTTTTTTTTGCACTGTCTCTGTTCTATCGTTGATGTTGTTCGTTTGGTTAGAAATTTGGTTTACATTTTATTCCCAGTAGAGAAACCTTATTATGAATTATAATTTTGATAGTTTCGTAGTTTTTGTCAATTGTTCTATATCTCTGATGTGACTAAAAATAATATTTACAAAACTGGTAGATTAATTCTAACAAGTTGAGTCGATTTTTGATCAACCGAACCAGAACAACGGAAGTAAATACAGCGGAATTAATTCAAACGAAACCTGAGCGATTTATCTTCGGTGTATGTGTTGTTCAATAACCAACGAATCCCGTGGAATTTTTCGAATTTCAATGAAAATCGAAATTTATAAAATTTAATTTCGGTTTTCGGTTGTTTTGCCTTTATTCTTCTTGTTTTTTTCCCCCGAAACAAAATGAATGGACGTGAAGTGAAAAATTTTGTCTGTAAATACAGCGAGAAAAGATCGTAAACATTTGAATCGTCCACATACGCATCAAACGATATTGTTATTGGTGTTGTTGTTGTTGTTGATGGTGGACCACGTTCTCTTCGCAACGTCTTTAATCTGAATGTATCCAAATTCAAATGCGATGAAACAACACACATCGCAACCGAACACGCGCTTTTAACCGAAAATATCACATGAAGGAAACAAAAATCAAAGGCAAACTAACATCACACACACACACACACACACACACCGCTGCGTATAATCCAAGATCTATGTTTTTGAAAAAGAAAAGATCCGAAACACACACACCTTACAGAATTAATTAAATAAATCAAAAAATGGTTAAATAAATTATGGATCGTAAAGCATTCATTAGTAAATAACTAATCGCGCGACGCCAGAAAGAAAATGAAATTTTCGATTTCAGTCAAATGTGAGCAAGTTAATTTTAATTCTCAAAAACTAAATTAATTTATGTGGATAACTTTTGATGAGAATCAAACATATAAAAGTGATGAAAAAATAAACGGTTGAAATAATAGTTGACAGTGTGAATGACTAGAAGCGATTCGTTTGAGCCATTTTGCACGTTTTTAACGGTTAACAACAATGACAGACAACAAATTGTCATAAAACTGTTACAATTTTTTGGCGAGTACAACAACACGAACAGCAACAGAAACCAAACAAAACACAAAGAACACATCATACACGCCGAAATGATGAGAAGTTTTGTAGTGTCCAAAATGGAAGAAAAAAAAATCATATCGTATTGTATTGTGGACACAAGCGAAAAAAAACATTCATATGTATGTATTCATTGGAATGACAAATGCCGTTGCCACTGCTGCCGCCGTCATCGTCGTAGTTGCGCGTGCATGTGTGTGCAAAAAGGAATCGTTTTTTTTCGCATTGGCTCCGTGTGTGCCAGTTGTTTGTTGGTTGCTTTTAATCTCTTTTGCTTCGGCCATAGGATCACGAATGCGAGAGAGTGTGAGATGCCTCTTGGCTAAAAATAAAATCCCAGAAAAGCAATAAATAAATGAATATTTTATAGGTAAACCACAGCAGACAACAAAAAAAAATTAGTACATGCTTAAAATACGATTTTTGCACAAGCGGGTGAAACAAATCGAAAGAAGAGAAAAAAAACGTGAATAGCAACGGCAATGTGAAACCGAAACAGATCGGGAATGAGGGAGAAAAAAAAACAGTGGACGAGCCAGCGAGTGAGATAGCACCAGCAATTACACATATATACATCGGGTCAACGATGAAAAAAAAGAAAGAATTATTAAATGGTCGGATTAAGCGGGCAGCTTGAAGCACTAGCGCGAAATACACACATCAGAGAGACGAAAAAAAAGAAACACACATAGCAACTCGATGTGCATGCATGATGATGCAGTGAATGGGGCATGATCAAGGAATGTACGACGAACACAAAAAAAGACAAAATCGTAGTGTATGCACCAAACCCGAACACATTAAGTTTCAATAGAGTGCATTTGTTTTAATCGAAGTGAATTTCATCGGAAATATTTGCGTGCTAAGCGCCTTTATCGACATCGCCGTTGACGATCCGAGAGTCATTTGCCCATCAAGTGATGTGGCCATTGTGTGTTGCGACGAACAACAAAAAAAAAGAATCCACCTAATACAGAAGATACACATACTCAAAAACAAAGTGGCACCGTGTGGTTAATCGCTAATTCACAGTGGATGGCAAATATGTGCATGCAACTGCATGACTGGAAGAACAAAGTCAAAGTCTTGCATTTCGACGTGACCATGATTCGATGGTGAGAAGAGCGACGCGAGAGAGAGAGAGAGAGACAGAGTTAGAACAAGCAACTAATTGAGAGCACAATTCAAACTTAAGCTCCTACTTCGAAAAGGAATAATTTGATCAGCGGGTTTTAGTGCACTTAATGGCACATCAAACACTGCAAGAGCGAAGAAAAAAAAACACCGATTGTAAATGACTACGAAATAAATACATTTGCTGCATGATGATCTACAATGCAACATCTCCGAGCGTATCCAAGAAGATATCTCATATGATTCGTTTTGCGTTGTTGTCGACATCGTCTTCATCTTCGTCTTTTTCGTTCGAAGTCACTTCTCAAATGCAGGCCGCAAATCTAATTGCGTTTGTTTGGCTATGCAGCAGATCATTTATTTATTTATTTTTTCATAATGTCATGTCACTGCGAACACAACAACAACAAAATAAAAAGAGCTCAATACTAATATGCATACAACACATATACACATACCGACCGACCGACCAACAACAAACACATGCACATTCACTTGATGCGAATGGTCGAGACACAGCAGCATTCATAATGCATTAAATAGTAATAACATACTACGTGCATTCGTAAACAATAAATAAGACGATGTGCAGTTTGTATTCGTCGTTGAGCACCATGTCTTCTCGCCATGCATATTTATTTTGTCATTTGGACTGTTGGCTCTCACTCTCTCAGTCGCTTTCTCACTTGCACCTAGAAAATACCACACAAAAATTCTCTTCACCTTCTTTCTTTTCGTTATTTTTTTTCTTCTTCCTCGCCTTCGCCCGTTGAGTTTTTAAGAGCCTGAAGAATGAGACTTGGAATTTTTGAATTTTATTCACGAACACACCAAACTCCATCTAAGGCAGCCAGAACATCGGTTATGTGTGTTTGTTTATGGCCGAGTAAATATGAGGTGCGCGGCGCGCGATGGCGTCAATAAAACCATTTCTTCAGTTTAAATAATGCATACACACACACACACACACACACACACACACACACACACACACACCGAGAACGAACTATTTCGGTAAAGGTAACAAAATGCTTCAACAAATCGCCTTGGTTTACTGTGTGCACTTTACAATGTATACTTTGATGAC